TCTGATATAGACTTCAAAGTTCTAAGAACAATCTCAGGCTAGATAAAATGCACATTTTTTTTTAAAAAAAAGGAATTTCTAAATTTTAGCTATGTACAGAAATACATTTTTCACAATTTAGATTATTAGTGTTAAAAGTGCAGGTATAACTAAATGCACAGTACTGTAAGATTTTTATGTTATCAATTAATCTACCTGAAATTTAATTGCAGGGCAAATGATCTGAAGTGTCAGAAAAAAATGATATAAAATATTAAAATTGTATCTCATATTATGAATGTATTTTGTCATAAAATGGAACTTAATCCAGAAATATTATTCGGCTTTTCTGAGTAGAAATATTAGCAAACTGAAAGGTGGAATTGCACAATAACTCAAGGTTAATTGTTTTGTTTGTCTGGAAATGGTTTCTCAAGCTTTTAAAAACAAAGATAGTTTTCCAAAATACAGCTTTGTCCAAACTAAAAACAGTGGCTAAATTTATCTGGGGCTAGAGTAGATCCTTCCCATAGAATCTCTTTTAAAAATAATGGTTTCTATGGCACAATTCTAAAAAGAAATATTTATAACATGAATGTACAGATATGTGTACACACACTGTAGATCAGGGGTGTCAAATTCACATTGTCACGGCAGCATCACATGATGTATTGGGACTTTTTCCCCCTTTGCTAAATCAGGCATGGGTGTGGCCAACGTGTGACACATCCGACCTATGGGTCGGGAGTTTGACAGCCCTGCTGTTGATGGTTGTGGTTCCAGGAAGACGCACAAGGATTTTTTCCCCTTACTTTACTGTACTTTACTCTAGGCCTACTGAATTAGGTAGATATTGCTAAGTGAAAACTGGTTTTTGTAGGTGAGAATAGTGGATCTTAGCAAAACCAACCATAGTTCAACATCCAACACTAAGTAGCCCATTGGAGATCAGTTATGCATATACGGGCAAAGTATTGCACCCCATGAAATAGTTTATTCAAAAGTCAGTAGGATGGCTTTGGGAGCACTTGTGGTTTTCTGGATTCCTCTACTGATTTCATGGAGGAAACATTTGAAGGATTCATGTCTTGTTTTATAATCCAATGATGCCCAAGCAGGCTTATAGCGTGCTAAAATCTACTCAGCAATCCTTGATTGGCCTGTTGCAGGAATACTCTCCCCTTGTTTATGTAATCCAATTGATAATTGGGGCATGGGAGGAAGCACTGTGCATTTAGGACCTTCCCAGTCCTGCACTGTTGTTCATGTGAGAAAGCAGCTTCAACCGCGAGGCAACAAGTCTCCTTAGTTGTTTCTTTTGTTGAAATAAATGGGAAGAGCCATTCACACAAAGGAGTACCACCAACATCTTCACACATTTTATTGCCTAAAATTTAAAGGTAAGATAGTGTCTCCACCCATTCCATCGAAAGAAACCTGACCAATACATATTCCTTCAACACTAGCAGAGAGACATGAGCTTTCCCCATGCATGGCATAGCAGATAAGCTTAGGTAGTTGTGCATTTCTACCAATCTCCTTCCCAGGGGGAAGACTCAAGGTGTCCCTACCATCACCTCCAGCAACTGCCCAGCATTGGCTGTTTGGAGAGATTGCTTCCCTCTGCCTTATGATAGGGCTGGCTTTTGCAGATTTACTCAGTGAAGTTGATCTGCAAACCTGAACTTTGGTCCTTTATATTAATAAATAGGCAGAAAGTGACAGTGGAAGGCTTCAGTGATATGGTACTTCTGACAGTTGGAATATTAGGAGACGTTGCGTAGCTTTTTAATATTTCGTCTACAACATTTAATCAAGCTTTCTCAGATACTGAGCAAAAGTCTAGTGGAATCCTGGAGGAAGGGCTCGTGAGGTTCATTATTTTCAATTATTATTTTCTATCTAGGCATGAATAATGCTGAAGGGAATCCACCAGTGTAGCTTAATTTTTCACACAAGATGCAGAAATGTAAAACTAATTTTTGCACAGGAAATTAAATGAACTGTAATTTTGCATCTCATTTAAAATGTCCCTCTGTACCCCAAATGTGTATGGTCATGATGCTTGAGCAAGAACAGAGTTCTGATCTTACCAAAATTAATAAAATCTTATTAATAGTGACACTGACCTTTTGTTAATTTGTTTTCCTGATGTACGGAAAACTTCTGGCATGCTTCCACTTGACCAAATGTTTTTTGACCAGTATGCTATAAAAAGGGTCAATAGTCTTACCAAGTTCTTCAGCACCATTGTCCTCCAAATCTTGTTATATTGCAAATTATGGTGATTTCTAGTCTACCTATGGGATGATTTTGTCCAGAGGACTTGTTTCATGAAGGGATATTTGAGTTTCACCTCTTCACCAGATCAAAAAAGGAGATTGAGAAACAACCCATGCATGTGGAATATGCCGGACTCATCTTTTTACAGAGCAACAAAAATTTCTCTTTAAAAGACCATGTGGAAATTAAAAAATGTTGTACAGATCGTTTCTAACCTCATATATATTTCTGTCACCTCTAGTTCAACCATTTGTCTAGGAGAACAATTTGTTTGAAACGGTATAGGGTTTCCTGCCTGAGCAGGGGGTTGGACTAGAAGACCTCCAAGGTCCCTTCCAACTCTGTTATTCTATTCTATTCTATTCTATTCTATTCTATTCTATTCTATTCTATTCTATTCTATTCTATTCTATTCCATTCCATTCCATTCCATTCTGTATACCATTATTGTATATTTTTGTTTTGATTACAATTATATTATTATTTTTATTTAGATGCTAATTGCCTGGAATCTCTAGAGATGGGTGATATATAAATATAATAAATAAAAAAAGTAATCCTCATCTGTGGCAAAGATTTGCAACCTAAGGTGATTGAAAAGTATTTAAACAAAATCTAATACGTCGATTCTGTCAGCAACTCGATAGGAAGCTTCTCTCAGATTGGAAAATGCCTTGGGCTGGATTGTGTTTTTATATCAAAATGATAAACAGATAAGCAATTAGGGACGAGAATAAAATAAAATACACTGAGTCAAAGTGGAGCAAAGCTAGCTACAAAGTAGCTTGAAATCGACCAGCTGCTTTACTGATTTAATAAATGAGCAAACTTTCCAACATTTCATGCAGAACAAACTCATCATTTGCATTTATCCAGAAGTGGACTAGAAAGGTTCCCCACAGAATAGCTGTAGCAGTACGCTGGAATGCTAAAAAAAAAAAAAAAAAAAAAAAAAAAAGTTATCAAGATGTTTATTGCTACAAATGACGTATCTCAAAGGCTCCATTAACTGTATTTGTTTTATTATTTCTACTGTTTTTTTTAAAAAAAGTCAAAACTCCATTCACAGAAATTGCTTTGCAAAAAGAAATGCTAAAAGACTTTGCACCTGACCAAAATAAACAGAATAACAAAATTATACCAGGAGTACAAATGAAATGCTAAAGTGACAGCCCGTTTTGTTGCTTTATATAGCAGTGAATACAAACAGTGGAAACACCTGTAGGCGTGGAGAAAATATTCAACACAGTTGTATAAACAATTTTTTTTTTCTAGAGAACAAACCAAATCATTTTAGTTCAATTGCTTTGTTTATTATTTCTAATAAAATATTGATGATGGTATTTCCAAACAAAGATGTACCACTGAACTTTTCTGCATCCAGCAGTTCTGCAGTGTTGCTCTTTTGTCAGCTACATCTAGCCAGTGGTGGGCTGCTGTCAATTCGGGTGAACCGGTGTTGTGACCTGAGAGTGGGCCCGCACCCTTGCGCTATGCCGTCCTATTTAGACGTGATTTTTAAGCCGTGTGCATGCATGCAAGTGCATGCGCGAGCAAAGCACATGCACAAATAGCAAACGCACGCACTCACATTTTTGGTGCTGGAGCGAACCGGTTGTTAATTCATGTGCCGTCCACCTCTGGATCTAGCTAATCTCATATTGGAGGGAGGAATTTCTTTGTTTATTTGTACAAGACTGTATGTACCACCTGCTTCCTTGGAATCAAGATTATTTGTAAACATATCAGAAACTTTGGACCCAACCTGTAAACAAATTGATAGTTGTGGAGGAAAATGGGAAGATAGAGCTTGGGTTCCTGAACTTCCTGAACTTTTAAAAAGTGGGATATACATCTCACAAACTAATAAACTAGCAAATGACATTTAAAATGTGGCAAAATCCAAATGCACTGCAGAATAATCAAGTCTTGAAAACCATTCCTCAGTGTAGAATTAGGTTGGGTGCACTTTGTCCCTCAGGGGACAGAATAGTCTGAAGTGTGAATGTCACTACTAAGAAAATATATTGTTGGAACCCTACCTTTACCAAGTCAGGTTATGAAGTTTTCCAGTCCGCTGAAATAATGGATCCAATAACAGGGCTTGACTTTGTCTCCATTGGCGTAAACAGCAACCAACGTGAGAGAAACTAAAGGATACAGTTGAAGAAGATCCAAAATGTTTCTCTGCCGCATATTCAATTTAAATTCAGTTTGCACAATTACATACACAGGGTGATGCAGTCTTTAGTCTTGGCTGTCATCCATTTGTCAAGACTGAGAATAATCATCATGGATGCTCGTACATCTTTAAAAGTTCTAATGTTTCTCATTCATTTCTATAGAATGGGTAATTTGTAAACTGTCCATGAAATAAATGGGCACCATTGCATACTTTTGGTGAAGGAAATCCATGTATCTGGTTGGAGAATATTCAAATTTGCAATATTTATTTTACTTTTTACTTTTTACTTTTTACTTTTTACTTTATACTTTATACTTTATACTTTATACTTTACTTTACTTTACTTTACTTTACTTTACTTTACTTTACTTTACTTCACTTTCTTTTATTTTTTCTACACTGTCGGCCTCACCCAAGTGACTGGGGTATCTACAACAATTTGAGTAAATATGTAAAGATTTTGTCACTAACTACTCTTTAGGCTCATTTATTTTGCATTCTAAAAGGACTGTTGGGTTTTGTCGTTACTCATTTAGATTTTTGTTTTCAACAGACTAAGATGTTTGGTGAAGCAGCTGGAGAAAGGTGATGTGAATGTGGCTGAACTGAAGAAGAACATTGAATATGCAGCATCTGTTCTGGAGGCAGTATACATTGATGAAACCAGGTGAGGTTTTGGAACGACTGAATCTCCATTCATTCCTCCTATCATCTTTTTAGGGGCAATACTATGTTTTTTAAAGTTTTGTAGGATAATACAGAAACGCAAATTAGGCAAAGAATGCCATATGCTACTTTTCATATAGATATGTTTTGAATACTTGCAATAAATTACTTTTTGCACATTATAAATAAGGATTTTTAAAAAACAAAACCTGTCTAATTTCACAGTTTTTCATTTCTCATTTATAATTACTTGAAATCAAGTTTAGGATGGCCCAGGAAACAAAATGTCAGATGTCAGATCAAATTTGACCTAAGTTGTACATTCTGGTATCTTGATCTTGAACATTTAAATCAGAACGAAATGTACTTTCAACTATGACTGTTTCCAGTATCGTTTGGATGTTTTGGTCCATCTGGGCCTATTTCCTTATTTAATTGAAGATCTGACCTTTTGATAATTCTAGGCAGTCAGGTTTATTGAACTGACTCTTACATACTTACTTTGTATGAATGCCTTATGTATATTTACATGGTAAACATTATGCTTCTAGAAATAATATATAGGAAATAAAAGGAATAAATACTTGTGATATATTATTACATCTATGAGAACTGAGAACTGATTTTAAAAAAAAAGAATTCTATATTATAGTATTTACAAACCTTCAATTATGGTCTGAATTTCCACAATCCCTTACTTTTGATGATAAGGTAGGTTGCAAGGATTTTAACTTCTAGTCAGAGTTATGTCAGAACTATAACCACAGCAGCACAGCAGTTTAAGACTGATTTAGAGTCGCACACAACTGCCTGTAACCATTGCCACATACTTACACTGCAAAGGGGTTGATGCGTAAACTGCAGATGGTTGTAGACAGGACAATGCAAAGACCTCCCAAATCCTAATTATGGAGGTGCATGTCCTGCACACTGATTGGTCAATCCAACTTCTTGTTCTGTGCTTTGTTGTTTGAGTGTCTCACAGCCAGAACATTAAAATTCATAGACATATGAATGCAACTGCCTATGAATGACAGACGTATACATCCCTTCTCATCTGCTCAACCCTTCAGAAGGGACAGGAGAGCTGTTGCTCATTGCTCATGTCACAGGTAACAAAATAGTTGTTAGACTGTGGGGCAAACTGACTGCTTACTGAATAGAAACTGGGAAGGGAAGAAGAGGAAGACGATATGGTGAGAAGTAATTTCTCCATCAAGAGACACTTTGGGAAGAAGATAGAAAAGGCAAAAAAATTGATGGGCAATCTTTGCTGATTGACTGTAAGCATGGTAATGAAAAAATTAGTATTCTGAACAGTAAACGTATTGGAGAAGGTAATTGCATTCCCTCTTACAGGGTGTCTATTAATCAGAACAAATAAGTGTGTCAGAAGGATCAATTTCTCAAGTTGTAGCATTTTTCTTAAATTTTGTTGTTGTTGTTATTGTTCATTTATCTTTGGCATGGCACAAAATATATTTTAAGGTGGAATAGTTGAATTGCATTTAACAGGAACTGATTTTTGTTATAAACCTTTTAAATGTTTCATTTTAGGATTGGGTTGCAAGAGAGTTTCAAAAGACTATCATCAACATGTGACATTTCATGAAGACGTGGAATGTTCCATGTCACTGCACTTTTTAAAAAAAAACTAATTTTGTTTCCACATATTGAAACTATTAAAATATTTTCTTGGAATACAGCAAAAACATTTAAACAACAAAACAGGTTTTCCAGCTGATTTGGGGCAACAGTTGGTAAAAATAAAAAACAAAAAACAAACTTTTTGTTATTTAGCATTTATATTAAAAGATGGTGGCTTAATAATTGTTGGATATGTGGTGAATGTTGAGATGTTTACTGGCAATTCTTCAGAATTTAAGAGACCCAAGGGAAAATGTTGGAAAATACTGACATTATAAATAAATTTCAAAGCAGAGTGTCCTTAATAAATATTCAAAAGTTCACCCTCAATTCCATCATTAACCCATAGACAATATTTATGGTAATTATTTGCATATAAATGCAAACCTAAGTATTTATTATAAAACATGTTGATATTTTTACTTGACATAATGACCATGAAGCAGTGGCATTCACCTGGTGTCTGCCATGCACTTAAGATATTTATGGGAACTTTCCCCTTGTAAAATAAGAATTCTTGGCAAGAGCAAAGGCACTATATAAAACATTGGGCAAGATTTCCTTGACTGTGTTATTCAAGTCAGTATTTTCCATGCAGCGCTACATGAGCCACAGGTGATACACAGGCATATTAGAGATGCAACTCTCTTCCCCAAATCAGAAAGGGACCCAAGAGAAGGGAAGAAGGGCGGAGTCACTTACTCCAGTTGAGTGTTCTGTGGCTAAGAAACTAAATATCTCAGTAGAAGAAGCAACTTTGGAAAGGCTTAGGAATCAAAATAAAATAACATTTGTTGCTTTTCTTCCATTACATGAATGGGAGGTTTGGTTTGGTTTGGTTTGGTTTGGTTTGGGTTGGTTTGGGTTGGGTTGGGTTGGGTTGGGTTGGGTTGGGTTGGGTTGGGTTGATTTGGGTTGGGTTGGGTTGGGTTGGGTTGAGTTGGGTGGGGTTGAGTTGGGTTGAATTGCATTAAATTGCATTGGATTTGGGTATTTCACATTTAGGGGAAAAAATGTTCCCACAAAACTGCTTCAGCCCCAGTTATTCCTCCCTCATTTTATGGACACATTTCTTGATTTGTGCTGGAGAAGACTGTTTCCACAATGATATATACTATTTCAGCCCTAGTGAACAATAACTCTTATTCTCATCTACAGCTCTGTTGTCAGCTACGTTATGTGAGTTTTAATATCCTTAATATTTATTGTTAACTGGTAAATAGAGTAACAGAACACTTTGAAACATGTATATGCCTTTGAAAAAAAGTGCCCTTTGAGTTTCCATCTTTGCGAGAGACAAATACTTCAGTACAATTATTGGTAGTGGGAGTGAAATGTGAACGTTTAAGTACCACTAGTTTAAACTAAACTGCTATCTTTTAAATAATCCACAATAATCCTCTGTTTATTAACTCCAGTAATTCAGTGCCCTAAAATAAACCAAATCAACAGCGTAAACTTTTAGATAAAGCCCAGGTATTAGCTTGCTATTTCTCAAAATGTTAGAATGACTAGTAGTTTCACCCAATGTTCAGAGTCATGCACCTTACCATTCCTTATCAACCTTAACATTTCTTTTCTGACAAAGGATGAGCCTGGAATTCACTTTTTTAAAAAATGGAGAAAAGGGGACATAGGGCAAGAACATACCTGTTGGAGTCTACAGCAGGTTCCTTCACTACTGATCTGTAGGGCTCAGCTATAATTTCTTGAGGTATTGGAATAACAATACAGTGCCAAGTCAGATAGCAGTCTGTGAGAGTGCACTTTACTCAGAATCCTCTCAGACATGGAGCTGGCACTCAAATGGGAAATGACAACAGTGCTGCTATTCCCTGCAGAAAACTTTTCAATGTAAATTACAGATGGAGCAGTAGAGCTTATTTCCTTGGAAATGAGAGCTGTAGAACTTTCCCCCAAGGGCTGAGATGTGATTGAGCAGTACTTGGAATGTCACTATCTTAAGTATGTTGAAGGTTATTACATAAAGAAGTAAATGTGTAGGACCCCTTCCCCTGCTCACTGAGTAAAAATAGATGACAATTAAATTCTTTGTTCAGTCTGGACCCCATTGTGCATTTCTGAAATATATTTCCCACTTGTGTAGAAAGTAATAAATAGCTTTTAGTAGAAAAAACAATAATGCTTGAGGAAATGGGATAATGAAGAGCATTTAAATTAAAATAGTTTGGAAATTCAAATATATAATGTTTCTTTGATTAGAAAGTTCAAGATTTGGAACTCTAACCAACTTTGTGTTTTACTGTTAAGTCCAAAATTAATCTTTAATAAGATTCTTCTTCTTTGTAGACTAACTTGTATTATGGACATCAGAGAGTAATTCAGTGTAGTACTGGCTCAAATGTGGGCTGGTGATAAGATAAAGTGATATTATGAGGACATGCCAGTGCATGTTTGGCCTCTGGTTTATGTTCAAGTGAGGAGAAGCTTGTAAATATACCAAATATTGCATTAACTATATTGATGAGGACAAGCCTGTTATCTCCCTTTTATACAGTAACAATTCTTCCACTGTGCTCACATAAAGGAAGCAGTCAGATCTGTTTAGCAAATAGCTATTGATTATGAATTTTCTCATTTTAAATAGCTGAGGAAAATAGCTATTAGAATAAATCATCAGCATAGTGGGAAAAAGTTGTAATAATTGCAGTTAGGTTATTATATATCCAAAGGTGAAAGATTCAACATTACCCGCAATGGAGGAATGGATCTGGAAGACGATGGAATTTGCTGAGATGACCAAATTGGCAGCTTTGATCAAGGAAATGACATTATTTAATTTTAATGCTGACTGGAAACCCCTTGTAGACTTTCTAGGTGAAACAGAAAAAAAAGAAGAAGAAGAGGAAATTATTATATATGGCTTTGATGATTAGAAAAAATAGATATAGAAAAATATAAGGCATGCTGTAACCAAAGGATAAAAATTTATATCTATATCTACAACTGCTGTAAAGAAAACCAAAAGCTACTTCTTTATCGTTTTTTTTCTGTACTTTTGGCTTTTTCTTCTATTTTTTCTTCTTTCTTTTTTATTATAAATGTTAGCTTTGGGTAGTTTTTATCTTTCAAAAAAATTAACAAAGTTGTATTTTTAAAAAAGAATACATTGACAGCCATTTTAATTCCTTCTTTTCTATTCTTGACTAACAATATGTTTGCAAAGTGATAGGAAGATTTTGTAGGAATTAGTGTCTTGATAATTAATACTTTAACATAAGCCTACTGTTACTTTTGTGTTTTTTTTAAAAAAAAATGTTGAACATTAGAGAACATTCTGGTAACACTGAAGTAGCATTGATGCATGCAATCTCATTAGCCTTGTTACTATTCTGTGGCCATCCTGATCCCGTAAAATCAAGGGGAAAAACTGGAGCCAGACTTGGGAGTAGCCAGGGTTCTATGCTGATGCTACATGGGAAGATAACAAGTTAAACAGGAGAGGAGAGGAGAGGAAAGGAGGAGAGGAGAGGAGAGGAGAGACAAAGTAGTTAATGTGTCTTTGAGGACCCAGATTGTTGGGGGCAATATGCTGACTCTGTAAACTGCTTAGAGAGGGCTGTAAAAGCACTATGAAGCGGTCTATAAGTTTAAGTGCTATTGCTATTGCTTTAGAAAGATCTCAATTGTACCTTGTGAGGGGGAATTTCCTTGTCAACTAACAGGACTGTACCTGAGGCCTATTAGGAACATCTATATATGCTCAATGGACAATGAGAATCAACACCATTTCAATGAAAGAAGCATATGCTCTAATAAGATAGCATAAAGCCATATCTATTGAGTTTCAGTAAGTTGGAGCCTTTTGATTTCTCCTTATAATATATAATGTTTCTTTAAGGGGATTTTTTGCACCAATTCTAATGGAGGCCAAAGTAATTCATGATAATTTCTTCCTTTCTGTTTGTACATGCAGTAAATGTTAATGTTCCTGCATATCCTAAACCATTTTCTTTTACTTTATTTAATTTTTTTTCTAATGGATTTCATCATCTCTGCAGGCTTCCTCATGTGAAGTTTCATATATGGATATTGATTTCCTTAACAAACTGAGTAAATGTTAACCTAATGACAAACTTTTTTGAAAGTTTGTACCTGGGGGGAAAAACACAGTCACAAGGTTGGGAACTCATTTTTCTTCTGGAAAATGCTCTACAAAGCCACTAATATAACATGTATAAGAATCCTTATTTGAGCCCTTAATTATATGTATGGGGGTCTGGGAATATGGATGTATAATAATTTAATATACAAGCAATAGGAAATGTTTGCTACCTGAAATAGAGCAACAGTAGGAGCATACACACTGATCCTTCAGCCATCATGGTGCATGCCTTCCAAAGTAAATCCAATTATTTTGGTCCCTGAGGCAGAAAACTCTCACAATATTTCTCCTGACCCCTTGCTGTAAAAATGCACTTCTAAGAAATAAAAAAGTAAATAATTTGCTGCCCTTTCATGACAACCTTATTCTGTTGTCTGAATCCCTGCCTTACTCTTTCCATTAAACAATATTCTGGTTACTCTTACGCAGTGGTGCGGTTTGTATTAGTTTTTACTATGCTTATTAAAAAGTCAAACATTATTTTTTAAAAAGGAAATACATGGGAGATACAAGCAGCATGATGAACAGAAGTTTGTAAGAGCTGAGGTAGTGCAGTGGTTAGGGTGCAGTACTGCAGCTACTTCAGCAGATCAGCGGATCAAGTCTCACCAGCTCTGAGGGACTTCACACAGTTGAAACACGAATATGGCTATTGGCCAAACAAAATCTTGTGAAAGTTACCACATTAGTTTTTTTTCTTGCAACCAAGTAAGGCAAGATATAACGTTTAGTTCCTAATAAGTAGAGCTAGGATCCATTTCAGTCTTGATCAGAAGCTGAATAATAGTCCATGCAATTTTTATATCAAAGTCTTGGGTTAATTCTGAAGGACCCCGTTTTGAAACCATGGAGCCAAGGTAGACAAGGAAACATGGGATAATTAATCAGGTTTACTCTTGATATTTGGCAATTTAACTGCAAAGATTTCTACTCCCATTTTTTTTTTCAAAATTGCAAGTGAAGTTGTGGGTCATACTAATAACTAACCTTATAATAAATAAATGTCTCTGATAGTGTTTCTCACATAAAATAAAAGTATCTATTCTATTACTGTACTTCAGTAAGGACTTTATATTACTCTGCTATTCTATTTTAGAGAATTGTAGCAGAAAGCTTGATGTACAATAAAGGGCTCGAGATAATTTTCATGAAGGAATAGACGAGCCATTAACAAAGGAAAAATTATAACTCAGTCCTAGGAAAATTGATAGTACAGGAAAGAACTCAAAATAAGATGAATTAATTCTGTTTGGCATAAGATGTAACAGAGAGAGATGCTGGCAGACTTTCAAGATTCTGTTATTGTACCTTCCAACAATAAAATATGATTCCTATAATCTTTGTGGGGTCTGTTTCCTGATCCTTAAAAGATAAACATATACCAAACTTCAGATGTAGATTTGTATTCATACATGTTGTCTCATTTTGTGAGGAGAGGGAAAGTGCAGTAGATGTTGGCTCTGTCACCATTTTGCTTCTGGCTCTGCTCCAAATTTCGGCTTCTACTTTGCACTTATTTCTAGTTTATGGTCCTGGAAGTTCTAGTAAAAAAGCCAAGAACCAAAGTACATAGTTCCACAAGCTTGAAGTGCTCATTCTTGAAACAAACAATATAAAGGTAGATGAATCCTTGATGTCAATTGATATAAAGTAGCATTCTATCAAATAGAGCAATGGTGACTTCACTGTGTACATTCATGTGGAAAGAATGTTATTATATAGATACTGAGACATCATTCCAATTACTTAAGAGTTTTGAATGTTTGGTGCTTATTATGTGCTGTCTTCCATGTATGTATATACAGGAGATTATTGGATACGGAGGATGAACTATCAGATATCCAATCAGATTCCGTTCCACTGGAAGTCCGAGATTGGTTAGCATCTACCTTTACGAGGAAAATGGGAATGACCAAAAGGAGACCGGAGGAGAAACCAAAATTTCGAAGCATCGTGCATGCTGTACAAGCTGGGATCTTTGTGGAAAGGTGTGCTTTATTCCTTTATTAATTATATGACAGCAGGTGAATGTGTTATCAACATCATCATCCTGATGAAGAGCCACAAGAAGCAAGAAATGATTATTTTACTTTACAGTATTTTAAACTTGGTCTTCTTTTTTCAAAACTGGTATTAAACAGCTAAATCTTGGATGCTTGCAGTTGAGTATGGAAAAATCTGGACTCAAACTTCATGCCTGGGGTCTTTTTACATCAAAATTGAGACTAAGCATATCAAAATTTAAATATATAAATATCTTTGGTTAAGTGTTGTTGAGGAGAGCCAATTCGATGTAGTGGCATCATACTACAAACCAGTAGACTGTGTGTCATAGTCCTGCCTGAAGCACAAAGTCAGCTGAGTGATCTTGGGCCAGTTACTCTCTCTCAGCCCTAGGAAAGAGACAATGGCAAACCACTTTGGTAATTTTACTAATGTATTTGAAGGACTTGTCAACACTCACTTGAAGGTACCAAAAGAAGTCTTGTTGAACTCAGTAAGGAATACTTAAGATAATGCTTATAAAAGTGCACTCTGTGACTGTAATTGCCTTCAGACTTACTTAGGAATATGTGCCATTGTTTGCATAAATATGTACTGTAATTCTCTTATGCCTTTTCAGTATTCACACTGAAAACAGTAGTATGAATTTAAAACTCAGAAAGAGATTAGTGGTTTGTGTTTTTAGGGAATAAGAGAACAGAAAAATAGTAAAAAAAAAAAGTTAACTGCTAAGCAAGCATATACTGATTCTGTTATTTATGGATTTATTCACTCATTTGTTTAACCGTCATTATAATTAATATTTGAAAGGTCTGTAATGCTTGCGTATATGAAAACAGAATGTAATATTCTGCTTAAATTATCAGTTGCCAGACTCCTTTAGCAATAAGGTTGGATTGAAAAGGGATTAGCATTCATCCATTGGTATAGATACAGAATAAATCTGACTGATTGACAGCAGGTTGAAAATCCACATATCTTGCTTTGAGGGAAATGGTCTTTCATGCGGTCTTAAGAGTTTTCTATATATTACATCTGCTTTCATGACACTTACTGTAATAGGAACTGCTCCCAGAAAATAAAGATGCCATTTTAACTGTGAGGTCATGTAATTCATATTTCTTTCTTGTAGAATGTATCGAAGAACGTCTACCATGGTTGGTTTGGCTTATCCATCTGAAGTAATAGCAACCTTTAAGGTTAGTTCAGTTTAGCTACTGTACAAAATACATTCAATCTCTCTCAATAAATTTATTGGGAGAAATAGGAATCAAATTTTTCCCCTTCCTATACAAATTGCATGGAAAACAATGTTCAAATTCTTAATCTGGTTTCATAAGGGAATACTTATAACATTGGCATTTCTTATTTACTTTAGTCTTGCTGCAAACACAGCTATTATTCTGCATATTTCTGAATGCTGTCTATCCATTTCATAATGGTTATAGTGAATTATCTGATTTCAGCTGATTTTAAGTTGCTACAAACACAAACGTGGCTAACAACCATCTCAGCAATGTGATTAATTCACATTAGATTTTCTTTACATATCATGTACGAGAGTACCTACTTGGACCATGAAAAGAAAGTAAAGTAATTCTTGTCTGGATTAATAACAATAGCACTTAGACTTATATACCGCTTCACAGTGCTTTCACAGCCCCCTCTAAGCAGTTTAAAGAGTCAGCATATTGCCCCCAACAATTTGGGTCCTCATCATTCATAATCAAATGTAATCAAGTTTATTATAGCCCTAAAGCTAGAATTTCATATGAAATTATTGCATCCTTCTATATATATGTATAGCAGATAAACAATGTATAATAGAATCTAAAATAATTTAAGAACAAAGATAGTAAAATAAATCCACATAAAATACTATTGTAAGAAGTTGGTTTCAAATCTAAATAAGAGTGCTCCATAGCATACAAATGGTAGCACAAAATAGGTCAACCAGAGGTTATTTTCAAAGTCTTGGTTTTTTTTTTAAAAAAAAGTAGTATTAAATAGAAATTTCTGTAGGATAGGTAACGGGGTGGGCAATTGTGGCTCTTTTACAACCTGTGGACTTCAACTCCCAGAATTCCTGAGACAGCCAAGCTGTCTCAGGAATTCTGGGAGTTGAAGCCCACAGGTTGTAAAAGAATCACAATTGCCCACCCCTGGATAGGATATATAAGGGTCTGTATAGAATGCTTGTATAGGGAATAATAGCATATGGCTTAGACTTTTTGTTGAACTATAACCAAATGGATATAACTAAAGGCTGATATGAGTGCCAGTTTGCTATGGTGGTTAAGCTACCAGAATAGAAACCAGGATACTGTGAGTTCTAATCCCACCCACTTTAGACATGAAAGCTACTAGGGTGACTTTTGGTCAGTCGGTCACTCTCAGCTCAACTCACCTCACAAGGTTATGTTGTGGTGAAAATAGGAGGAAGAATTAAGTATGTTTACCACCTTGAGTTATTCAAAAATAACAATAAAGACGGGATAAAAATCTAATAAATAAAATAAGAGTATCCTTAAAACATCCAGAAAGGACTTCTGAGGGAAAAGAATCCAACCTGACTAATGTGAAGGATTTAATGACATTTCAGAATTGGAATAGATGATAAATAGGAGACTGAGGTGAGCCTTTTTTGGATGCAAATGATAAATATTGGAGTATGACACATTATTTTAGCTTATTTGTATTCCAAATTCATTGCTTAAGGTGGTTCTAGCATTATCAAAACCTAGTGAGCACAGATTTTCCATGGAGAAGCCCAGCAATTGAATTTTAGCAAGGGCTTTTTAAAGCCATGACTGATTTAAACAATCTCTAAATACTAAAGGGGCCAAATTTATGGGAAGTAGAATTAACTTTAGATAGAAGCTATGAAGAAGAAACCATTGTGCAGCATCCAATGAAATTATGCCTGTCTCTACGCATAGGATGGCATTTTTAATACATTTTGGAACCATCGGTATGTCTCTAATAAACTTATTTCGGACGGTTTCAATAATATTAAGGTTTGCAAAGGAACCAACTTGGAAGCAATAAAGAAGCTGAGAGGCTATCTTAGCTTGAAAGACCATGCAGACTGCAGGAGCATCCATTATTTTGATGGATATTCCTGCACCCAATTTACCTATTGAATGATAACATCTTACAATAACTGTGGAAATAGGCTGTGCAACACTTGCTAGATAAGAAAATTGAGCACGGCCGGATAAGGAAGCAAGAAATTACACTCCAAATAGGTGTACAGTTTTTCAACCTGAGTCCCATTTATTTTCCATTAGTGACTTTCATGACAATGCCGGGCAAAAAGTAAGATTTTAGTTTTCTAATAATTTATGCAAAATAAAGATAACGTCCTAAGTGCTTCATTCCCTCCTATGACACAGACACAATAGCAACATCATCGGCATACAATAGCCCTGGAATTGCACAATCAGCCAGAGTGGTTGGATGAAAGGCTAAAACAGCAAGCATTTTAATGATTAGATTTAGATATAAATTGAAAGTACTGAAGCTTATATACAACTTTGTCTTACGCATCTATATGTTAGGGATTGCTTTAGATAAATGTCCCCAAGGGTTGCATCTAATTTGTCATCTGCACCTTTATAACTGTTTGGTTCAGTTCTGCAACCCAACAAGACAGACACAGACTTCAGAGGATAATTAGAACTGCAGAAAAAAAACAATTGCTACCAATCTACTTTCCATTGAGGACCTGTATACTGCACGAGTCAAAAAGAGAGCTGTGAAAATATTTACAGATCCCTCACATCCTGGACATAAACTGTTTCAACTCCTACCCTCAAAACGACGCTATAGAGCACTGCACACCAGAACAACTAGACACAAGAACGATTTTTTCCCGAATGCCATCACTCTGCTAAACGAATAATTCCCTCAACACTGTCAAACTAGTTACTAAGTCTGCAATACTATTAATCGTCTCATCGTTCCTATCACCCATCTCCTCCCACTTATGACTGTATGACTGTAACCTTGTTGCTGGTATCCTTAAGATTTATATTGACTGTTTTCTAATAGGATTTGATTGCTTATTTGTTCCCTATGACTATCATTATGTGTTGTACTTTATGATTCTTGACAAATGTATCTTTTCTTTTATGTACACCGAGAGCGTATGCACCAAGACAAATTCCTTGTGTGTCCAATCACACTTGGCCAATAAAAAGTTCTATTCTATCTATTCTAATTTTCAGGATTAATCAAAATATTTCCGTTTAACTACATATATGGCCATTCCCAAAAGACTGTGATTGTGATGGCTTTTTCTTTTTAATTGCAAGGTCATTTAGACATTGTTTCAACTATAAGGTTTTTCTGATTTGAAAGTTATTGCTTTAAGTGCAATTTCCTGCTATGATTAACCTTCTGGATTAGAATTCATTTGCAGAGATGAATTCATTTGCTTGTTGTGTTTCTACGGTTTCCTTCTCCATTAACCAAACATTAGTCCCAAGTGATAACTTGTGCACCACAAGCATTGAGGGTTCTCAAATAAGCAAAAAAAAAAAAAAAATCCACAGGCCCTGTGAATAGCAATGAAGAAATGCTCTGCTGTGAGAACTGCTGCTTGTGAGGCTACACATGTGGTTCAACAGTGAGAAGAAGCTGGAAAACAGCAAGGGAGCCAGGCTTCCATAGATATATTGCTGGTCTCAACATCATATACTGCTAATCATCTTTCTTTCCATGGCTGAATTTATATAGCTGAAACAGCATTGGCAGTATACGAGAAGGAAATTCTATCTCCTTAGCAAAAACACCTGGGTGGGGAAGGAAAACTTTGGAAATGGCCTAATAGGAGCTGAATATACTGTCACAGAAGGTTGACTGGCTTTTTATTGTAAGTCCCATGTGGAGGCAAGGCAGAATTATATTTTCTTCTGTGAAGCAAGTCACTTAGTGAATAATATAAAATAGGATATGGGTAGTCTTCGGCTTTTGACGATAATCGAGCCCAAAATTTCTGTTGCTAAGCAAGACCGTAGTTAAGTTAACTTTGCCCCATTTTATGACTGTTCTTGCCACAGTTGTTAAGTGAATCTGGCTTCCCCATTAACAATTCCCCATTGTCAGAGAGTCTCAAAATGTGATCACATGACCGCGGGGACACTGAAACCATCATAAATGTAAACCAGTTGCCAAGTGTCTTAATTTCGATGTTGTGACCATGAGGATGCTGCAACGGTTGTAAGTGTGAAAAACGGTCATAAGTCACTTTTTTCAGTGCCATTGTAACTTTGAACAGTCACTAAGTGAACAGTTGTAAATTGAGGACTACCTGTGTAGTCAGGCTTAAGCATTTCTAGATTTTTATTGGAGGATATTTTAATAGCCAATGAATGAATACCTACTGAATGCAAAAAGCTTAGGTGTACCAAAATCTTGTGCATGTATACAAACCATTAAATAGATTGGTGATGTATGTATGTATGTATGTATGTATGTATGTATACACACACATACATACATACACATATTGCTGAAATAGCACTTTGTATAATCTAATAATATTTAAGAAAATTATAAAACTATCTGAAAAATATTGAAAAATCTGAAAATCCATAAGCATCTCTCCTCTTCCTTATTTTTTAGGATGTTGACAAATGGTCTTTTGATGTATTTTCCTTAAACGAAGCAAGCGGAGGCCACAGTCTGAAATTTATGATGTATGAATTGTTTACCAGATATGATTTATTGAGCCGTTTCAAGGTGAGAACCTTTCTCTACAAATACATATTTAAAAGACAAAGGGTACCTGGTCTTTCTTGCTTCCTCAGTAGCCTTGATAACTGGACATTCCCCACCTGTCCTCCCCTTCCCTCTCATATGCCTCTCTAGCAGATTCGAAAGCACATAGCAACCAGTAAGGGAAAAGGAAGCCCATAATAGCAGTGGTGGGCATTTGCAATACATTCTCAGATACGGAGTTAATTTAATATGCATTCCATTCCATTTGATTGATTGCAATAGGTGGAATAATTTTTAAAATGATCAAATATCAGAGAAAGAATGGTGAGCCTGCTCCATCTATGCCATACTGCTGGGCTGTTTTGCTAGGATGAACTAGGAATATAGCCTTGCCTATATATCATGCAAGTTCATCTTCCATAAGAACGAAGGAGCAGAATAGACACAAGTCGGCATCCAACATCTTCATGGGTGAGAAAGCCAATGAATGAATCAGCTCTAACTTTGCCATGAACCTGACAAAGAGCAGCATCTAAAAATATTGCAGGCCCTGAGTCTCCTTTCAGATGCTAAGATCCAATGATGGGTCAGTGCTTTAAATAAGAAGCAACATGGAAAGCAAAGGATAGGAAGCAGCATTTTGAAAGGCCAAAGGCCGGGACTTTAGACTGTAAAGATGATGTGGGAGGGGGGTCTCCTCAATAGTTAATTCAAGTGAAGTTCTGTAGGCTTTATCTTTAACGACAACACATACTGTCTCCTCTGTTCTTGTCAGGAAGATGATTTTTGTTGTTTTTGAAAGCCCAGCTGGAACTGTTTGGCACTTTGTAATGATTGCATAAAATCATGACTGATTTATTTCTAGCTTGTTCCATTCTAAAAGCCTGGGAACAAAATATGGTTATCTGCCTGTTTGGTGTGGTTCAGGTTGAAGCAATGGTATTGCTGTGTTTATTTGTTAATGATGCAAGGAAAACATGACTTTTTGGTACAATTTGGCCATTAAGAGGAAGAAGAAAGGGACTGCCTTTGCATCCAGGTGACCAGACCAGTCACCATAGTTCTTGTTTCCTTTGTCAGGAGACAAAGATAGAGATAATGTGAGAAAAGATAGTGAGGTCACTTCAGTTTAGCATAATGTCCTGAAAGTGATAGAGCTTGGCCACTGGGAACTGGAAGTATTCACATTCCTGTTTTATCAGAGCAAGTGCAAAGTTGACTTCAGACTATTCATTTACCTGTCTTCTTTTTCTGGTGACATTTGGAGGCTGGACTGGCAAAATTGATCATGCAAACCTTTATACCTGCATACCTTGCAGACATATTGATCTTGGAGATACCTCCACCACCACCTCCTCCTCTTTCTTTATTTTGCCTTTGGCTTTTTGATTCTTTCAGATTCCTGTTCCAAGTCTTATTTCATTTGGAGAAGCTTTGGAAATTGGCTACAGCAAGTATAAAAATCCTTACCACAATTTGATCCATGCAGCTGATGTTACCCACACTGTACATTGCATCATGCTTCTGACTGGGATCATGGTAAGGGCAAAAGCTACAGCGTTAGGGTTCCTTTCTGTGAATATTGCTAGGAATCTGATCAAGAACTTGTGCAAGAGTAGGCTAGAATGGTCTTCCTGCTCTCTTGAAGAAACTCGGGATTATGTAAAACGTTCAATCTTAATTGGCAAGGGTGAACTATTTGTATTACAGATGATGGGTTTTGTTTTTATTGATTAGCACTGGCTCACTGAACTGGAAATATTAGCCATGATTTTTGCAGCTGCAGTTCATGACTATGAACATACTGGGACTACAAACAATTTCCACATTCAGACCAGGTAAGCACTATGCTTATTAATTGCAAAACTCTGATCTGGGAGCAGTCTCCCAAATGTTGGATTTATAGAAGGTTTGCAGGTGATGCATACTTACACTAGTAGTGCCAACAGCACACTACCCAAGTGTGCCTCTTACAATAGCTGCTGAGTTTTAAGAAGACAAAAGGAGTATTGAGTGAGAGCAAGAAGAGAAAAGAGACAACCTAAATTGAGGGAATTAGTTACTGAGACAAAGTAAATGGAGATAATTAGTTATTAAGTACTCGGATCTGCACAGCTCACAAAGAGAACAATTTTGGGTTTCTGAATGGACTTGTCTATCTCTCTTAAGAGTGCTTTCCATATTGAGAGACTTATATTTTTTTCACATAGTTACATTCCACCATTCTTCCCAGGGTCCCATGCAGCAATCCTTGAGATAGGCAAGCAAAGACTAAGTTGAGGTAGTCCTGGACTTACGACCACAACGGAGCCCAAAGTTTCTGTCATTAAGTGAGACATTTGTTAAGCGAGGTTGGTCCCCATTTTACGATCCTTTCTTGCCTCAGTTGTTAAGTGAATCACTGTAGTTGATAAGTCAGTAACCGGTTGTTGTAACATGAATCTGGCTTCCTCATTGACTTTGCTGGTCAGAAGGTCACAAAAGGGGATTGTATGGCCTTGGGACGCAGCGATGGTCATAAAGTAGGAACCAGTTGTCAAGCATCTGAATCTTGATCGCACGATCATGGGGATGCTGCAAAGGTTGTAACTGTGAAAAATGGTCACAAGTCACTTTTTTCAGTGCCAGGTGTAACTTTGAACGGTCACTAAATGAACTGTTGTAAGTCAAGGACTACCTGTAATCCAGAGACTCACTATTGAGCTTCAAAGGTTTGCAGGGATTTAAACTCAGATCTTGATAATTAAAGTTCATCATGTCAAACTGGTTTGGTAGACCTTTCTCTATCACTGTGAGACAGAATGTAGTCTCAATGACTCCAATTTATTCTTTCTCAGTTCCTATTGGTTATTTTAAGCAATTTGTTTAATAGGAAGAAAAGGGGATTCTCAGATTTATATATAATGAATACTACTTTAGGTAGGTAGGTATGGGTGAGGTAGTATATTGATAATGCTATGGCTTTTTATATCGTGGCGAGCAAAATTGGATGCAATAACATTCCAAGTGTGGCTTTACCAAGTTATTATAAAGTTAGCCATTAGCGAAATAAGCTTAGCTATTGGCTAAGCTGCTTTGGACTGGGGTTAATTGGAATTTAACATCTGAGATATTGCTGGTTTCCTACACTTTTTTATATAGTCACCAGAACATCAGATTGGTTCCCATTTTAAAGAAATTGGTGTTCAGTTGCACTAAAGACCCATTAACTTTGTCATGGGATCAGATAGTTCTACTGCTATATATCAATGTAACAGTCTTTCTATCCAGATAGACATCTTCTGACCTCTCCCAGAGAGAGGACTCAATTTTTCTCACCGATCACATTTCCTGGCCATTGTTCGCTTTAGTGTTAACACGCACATTAGTCAGGGAATTAAACCTATTTTTCCCCAGTATCATATCTGCTTTCCAGGCAAAACGAAAGTTTTATATCTCCTGTAAAGATTCAAACTTCAAGCCCTTTTCTATTTGGATCTAAAATGCATTGACCTTGTGTGCTGTGGAAGCAGAAAAGCTCTCTTTTCATTCAGAGTTCCATAGCAAAAATAATTCAGAGTGCACTGCAGTTTCTGACTGCGGTGGTACTTCCAATGTTTCTAAATCCTGAAGCTGCATCATTTTGGACAAAATTAAGGGATGATATTTTGATCACTTTTCTGGCTATTTAGTGTTCTGCAACTTCTTTCTCTTCCTCTCTCTCTCTTCTCTTCCCTCCCTCCCTCCTCCCTCTCTTTCTCTCTTCCTCCTTCCCTGCCTCCCTTCCTACCCTCTCTCTTATTACAGTACATAAAATATATAAAACTCTCCCTCTCTCTTCCCCCTCCCTCCCTCTCTCCCTTCATCTCTCCATCCCCCCCTCTCTCTTATACATAAAATATATAAAACAAGAATCAGAAAAACAGAAAGGGACAGAGAAGGAGCAGATATGACAGAACCATTCATTTGCCAAGAAATAATGTACACGAGAGAATTCTATTCCTCCTTTGAAGGAATAATAAAATCACTTTTATTATATCATCTCTGTTTATTTCAGGTTTGGAATTTGGACCCTATGTTTACAAAATATCTAATTTTTAACACTTCCACTGCCTGTGATATTATGGACCTCTGCAAAGTAGAATCAATCTCATGTTCTTATCAGGTTGTGATGGTCCTATTCACCTATGTATTTGAATGAAAACGGAAGAAAGAAATAATATCATTTCGCCACCTACCGTAATAGCTTCATTATAATATAGAAGCCCTACAGGCGCCAGAGTTTGTAGTCTCACATCCAGCGGGGGAAAGTTTTCATTTGGTTTCATTTCAACCAGCCATATCTCCACTTAACTAAGAGAACAGATGGATAAAACCATAGGCAGGTTGTGAACTTCTGGCTTATTGGTTCCCTCTCTGCATTTAGGTCAGACGTTGCTATTCTGTACAATGATCGCTCTGTCCTTGAAAACCACCATGTTAGTGCTGCTTATAAGATTATGCAGGAAGAGGAAATGAATATTCTGGTGAATCTAACAAAAGATGAATGGAGGTAAGATTGATATCCTGATTAAAAACACCATTCATTCATCATTCATAACACTCAAGAAATCTAATGCTTATTGACTGACTGCTATGTCTTTATCAAAGCATGATATTGTATCTACTAATGTTGATGTTCTGCATCATGTGGTTTTTAAACCTCTATCAGTGCTGTTTTTCAATAAATGAGTTACTCAGATGAGGTGAGAGCCAATCAAATCATGTTCAGTATTGTCTGGGATATAGCATTGGCTTGGTGAACTTTGCCATTGTGGAACACTAGCCTGTCTGGTCACCCAACAAGGGCTGAAGAGGGGGTCAAGCCATCACAATCAACTCTCTCAAAATCCCAATATGATCTCAGATTTGATTTGGTTTGATTTGATTAGAAAGAGACATGAAATTCAGTATCCAAACTTGTGACAATGGTGGTTAGTGACTTTGGGCCAGTGAGAGACACTAATATCATGGTTTCAGTACACTGGAGTAGCAACTTCATTTTCAGGAAGAATACGGACACTCAGTAGTTTAGCATTGTGGATAAAACATTATCAGGGACTCTATTATGAAACACATTTGAGGCCACTGGAAGCTGTGGTAGTTGTACAGTCATACCAAGGTTTTCCAATTTTAAACTATGGACTAGATGCATCCTAATGAATTGGACATTGTAGTAAGAGAATTAGTCTAGGGAAATTAGACTTGTAGGAGCCAAGTTAGTCTACTGTGACAAAAAAAAAATCAGGAATCTGGTAGCACCTTTCCCAACTAATAAATTTCATTATTTTTTTTAAATAGATATTTATTAAAATAAATTAATAAAAAAATAGTTAATCAGAAAAGTTGCTACTAGGTTTCTGATTCTGATAGCAGCTTTTAGGGTACTAATAGTTTTTTACTTTTTCTCTTACAAGTTCTACAGCTTGAATTTTGGTCTTAATAAGGTCGTGTCCTTGGGTTAGTTACACACTCTCTCTCAGCTCTAGAAAGAAGAGGCAAGGACAAGCTACTTCCAAAATCTTGCCAAAAAACCTCCAGGGACTTGTCTGGATAAGAAGTCAACACTGACTAAAATGGACCTAAAGAAAACCCCTTACTTTTAAGTCATAAACCTTCATATGCTCATGCCCACTTCATCAGATACATAACATGGCTTGACTGAGGTGGAATTATGATACATAGAGAGGGAAAGAGCAAGAAGAAAGCAAGGTAGTGAAGGTTTAGCTAGAACATTTATTTATTTATTTACAGTATTTACTTACTTACTTACTCACTCACTCACTCATTCATTCATTCATTCAAATTTATTATAGCTGCCCAACTTCCATGGACTCTGGATGGTGTATAAAATCTAAAATGTAATCCAGACAAACATCACCTTTCCTGAAATGGCCATTAATTTGCTTCTTAGGAGCTAATAAAGTGACATAACCCTGATAATTACCTTCATGTTATTTCTCCCTGCTGGCATTTGGTATCATCCACTGCTTCAACAGGGGCAGGATAATGGATTTTCAGATGGGCTTAACTGAATATGGCTAACTACCCATCTGTCAAACACTGGCTGATATATATATATATATATATATATATGTTTTTCTTCTAGCCAGGTTTTCCCTACGTAGAGCTAGGTGGGAGACCTAAATAGATCCATTTCTAGCTTGTTAGCTGTCATCAGTAGGCCACACCCATATCCTCCCTGTAAAGGCACAGTATCAATTATATATATGTGTGTGTGTGTGTGTTTATGTAAGTTTTCAGGGTATGTATGTGTGTATAGTTAATATTTCGGGTTTCTTCCCGTGTAATTGTGGATATATCCCTAAAAGGGTAGAAGCGACGTTTCGACAGGATCTCATCTGCCATCATCAGGCTTATGTGAAGGGTCTTTTGCTGAACTTATATATATATAAGATATATATATATATAAAGATATATATATATATATATATATATATATATATATATATATATTATATATATATATATATATATATATATATATATATATATATATATATATATATATATACACACACACACACACACACACACACATATACATATACATATACATATACATATACATATACATATACATATACATATATATGTAGGTCTTTGGTTATTCGGGTTTTCTCCCGTGTAAAATTGGAGCTGTCTTGGCAATGTCTTGGGTGTTGCCAAGACACCTCCATTTTTACGCGGGAGAAAACCCGAATAACCAAAGACCTACATACAAACACCCGCGAAAACCTCAGAAAACACACACACACAACACACCACACACAGGAGAAAACCCGAATAACCAAAGACCTACATACAAACACCCGTGAAAACCTGAGAAAACATATATATATATATATAACTTTATTGTAACTTTTCTTGAAAAAATAGTTTAGAATTCTTTATTATATAAAGTTCCTTCTAAATCGCTCTGAGATTTAGAATTAATTGTAAAAATAATTAATGGGTGGTAACTGTACTGCAGCTACTCAAGCTTGCATTACATTTATTGGTCTTTCTAGATTATCACGAATGAAGGTGAATATATATGTCCCAGGATAATGTTGCAGGATCCAATCTGGGTCGGTCACCGGGACCAGAGGTTTAGTCTTCTGAGTTTCAAGATTCATGCTTAAAAACTTTTCTCTCACTCTTTTTGGATTGTGTTGGAGAAATTGTAACTAAATGAACATATACCACCCTCTTTGTATCAATAGTTATTCTTTTTGCTTGAAAATTTCTAATAAAACTGGAAAAACTGGAAAAAGAAATACACAATGTTTCAATTAATTCTAATGTGACTTTATTGTTCATTTCCCCCCAAAACAGGTTAAATGATGACACACTGCTTAACGCATTGTAAGCCGCCCTGAGTCTCCGGAGAAGGGCGGCATATAAATCAAATTAAAAAAAAAAAAAAAACAACACAAGACATTCATTATTTTATCGTAACTGTTATCTGCTAGGTTTACTTCAGATGCAAAGGGAACATTCCCATCCAGATACACCCCAGAATAACAGACAAATAAATCCCTTGCATCCAAAGATGTCTGGATGAAGCATTTAAAATAACATTAATGTTATTTTATTTGCACCAATTTAAATTATTTACATAACTGGATCATGCATTTCTTCTTTTATAATGCAGTTTATGCATTATAATGCAAATGAAATCATTTATGTATAATTCATGTAAATCTGTCATTACATAAATGATATAAATAATTACAGGGAAGGAAGTTTGCATTTAAAAAATGCTCAGGAAGGACAGAACCTCCTTCTCCCAAATAGCCAATTAAATCAAGGTTTTACTCTGCATCTTTCTTTGAATCAATGATATTCTAAAGTATAGGAAATAGTTTTGGCTGGAAATTTAAAACAGTAGATGAGAAAGTAAGACACTTACTTATTTGCATTCAATCTCCATGTTTTAGTTATATCAACAAAACAATTCCTAGTAGATTATACATGTCTGCACAAATATCTTTTCCATCTCCTTTATTCTGCCAGATTAAAAAAAAAATTCCAGAAGTTTATATCATGAAATCTAAACAGAATTAAAACAGAATTTAAAACAGTAATATAAATAATAAATATGGATGTTTAAAATTGGATATTTATCCTTAAGATAACAAATGGATTTATAAGTGCATTTTTTCTTTTTCTGTAGCATCTGTCTTCTGATGAGTTTGTCATTACAATGTAGTTAAATGTTAGTTTAAAACATTGGGGAAAGAAAATTGATTTGATTTTCCTATGAAAAATGCATTTTTCTGTAAATAATTCATTTTAAATGCACTTTTCAGCCAACAGCTGCACACAATCTGGAGAGCTGCGCAGTCTGAAAAATGATGACATTTGATCCCATGTATTTATATGACAACTGTGAATTAGTTCAGTTCATTGAAAAAAACAGAGCCAGTGAAATTCTCCAACATCCCCAGTGAATGTCATGGCATGTTCAACTGCAGCCTCCCGTTATAGCTAACTGCAATTCCTCAGGGTACAAGCAGAAGGTCATCTGCAGAAAAAAATTTGCAATTAGTGTAGGAGAGGATAGAGGTTGTAAATGGAATGTTTGGATTAAGAGGAATTATTTTGTAACAATATTCCAAAGGATTTCATTACATCCTATCCTCCATTGCAACACCCCTCTTTCTCATGCATAGTTGCACACACCAAAATTTCAACCATAAGTTACTATAGCTGCACACGGTCATTTAGGAATAGCAATCTATTTAATTCACTATTTTTTTTTTAACATTGATTCAGAAATCTGTCAGTTTTCCAGCAGAGAGCTTCCTTAAAGACTCCCTGCTTAATGGTGTTTAAATGCCACCATAAATGAAAACATTGATTTTGTGCTGACCTTATTCAAGAGGGGATTTTAAAAACAGAAAATCACAGGAGTAAAGGATACAACTGAGATTTTTAGATGGGGAATGAGATTCAGGCAGCTCTGAATCAGAGTATATCCATGACACGATTCTTTTTTGCAAGGGATGCTAGAATATGTTGATATGCTGTCTTATTTTCCACTGTCTAATACACACCATCACTACCATTAGCAACAACAACAATTACAAACAAGTGGGAGAGGACAACCCTTTGAGTTTTTTCCTAGAGATTTGTGGCTGGAAGTAGAGGGAAATTATACTTTCTGCAGATATCCATTGCCAGATCTCATTTACCAATGCTTAGAATAACTTTACTTTAGAATAACTTTATTGTCACTTTAAATATACACTAATCGTCATACGTTAAAATGAAATTTCGTTGCATACAGCTCACAAACAGTTACCACTTCCAATATACATTACACAAGCATGACAAAAATATTATGCATATACCCACATACCCACGTATATTATATGACACAGAGAAACAACACAGTCTAGTTCGGATTTATACATGTACATGGCAAGAAAAACGAATCTTGCAAGTGTACCAGACGGATGGCATAGAGAACAAAGCTGTTACAGAATCTGGTAGTTCTGCTTTGAAACCTCCTCCAAATGCTATTTGGTTACATTGTACTTCCTTTCCCTCTCAAAATGTATAGAAAAAAATGACCTTGGGAAAAATATTCCTGAACATACATGGTCCTAGAATATTCTAAAATCAAGCCACTTCGTATTACTTACTGATCAGCTCAAGAATTCACATATCCAAGGTAGCATGAGCTACTATAAAATTACCCAAAATGTATTGTCATAAAGCAAACGTACTCTGGACATTTAATTGAAAGGAAGTTGCCGGTTACTAATCAATGACAGATGCTACAGCACATGTTTCCCCATTTTCATAGAAAATATTTCCTTTCCAAAATATGATTGACAAATCAAAGTGTTTGGGGAAGATTGTCGCACACAGAGTACCATGTAAACACATTTCTATTACAAATTTGGTTGCTGTACTCTTTCATCCACTGCCTCTACCACCTTAGAGAGATCTTCCCCAACAGGAAGCCCTTTATGGTAGGACAGTGGTCCCCAAGCTTTCCGACTTGGTGGACCAGCAGGGGGGTAAGGAAGTGAGGAGATTGTTTCTTCATTTGGAGGGAAGGTTGGATTTTTAGCATTATAAATGATTCCTCTGTTAAGTCCTTAACATGCTTAATTACTTTTCTTTTTGCTGGAAATTTAACAGAACCAATTTCAGGCCACAAACATGGGCTAGACATGGACTGGGAGGCACAGACTGCCCATTTCTGACCTGTTGGTTGCTTCTGTCTATGTTATCCAGTGAGATGTTTAGATAATGATGGCAGAATTATAACCATGTGTAAATCGGCTCACTGCCATAGTGGAAAAGAAAAAAAATCCAACCCCACATTGTATCTAAATCTCTGGTCACAATTTTGAAAAGACTTGCAGTAAAAATATAGATAATAGTAGTATTAAAGTTATGTTTTTAAAGCTGTCCAGCACAAAATTGCAGGTTACTGTTCATTGTTTCAAGTAATTTTACCTCTTTTCTAATGTTATTTTTGCTTCTGAGAAACAAATGAGTCAATGCAGTACAATCCATGTGCCTAAGTACAAAATTAATGCCACTGTAATCACTTTGATTGCCCACAGGGAACTGCGCAACTTGGTTATTGAGATGGTTTTATCTACTGATATGTCTGGGCATTTCCAGCAAATCAAGACAATGAGGCACACTCTTCAGCAAACAGAAGGGTAAGTGGCATTCCTTCATTCTTCCTTCTGTAGCTGCAGAAGGCTTGGTAGTTTAAATGGCTTCCTCAATCTGGAGCAGTGCTTATCTTTGCAGAGAGATAATGAGAAAAATGTCTTTCAATGGACAGGATAGACAAAGTGCGAGCCATGGCCTTGATCCTCCACGCTGCTGACATCAGCCATCCATCAAAATTGTGGGTTCTGCACTACCGATGGACAAAGGCCCTGATGGAAGAATTTTTTCGACAGGTACTTCTCTCCAATGTATTTATAAACATTTCACAAGCCATGGCAGCTAGCACTAGCACTTAGACTTATATACCACTTCATAGATCTTTACAGGACTCTCTAAGTGGTTTACAGAGGCAGCACATTGCCCCAACAATCTGGGTCCTCATTTTACCAACTTCGGAAAGATGGAAGGCTGAGTCAAGCTTAAGATGGTCAGGATTGAACTACTGGCAGTTGGCAGAGTTAGCCTGCAATACTGCATTCTCACCACTGTGCCACCACGGCTCTTAAGACTCAATAAGTGTTGAGAGCACAGTGGTTAGGATTAGGCATTTCATCCATTTTATTTCTTAACTATTTTTGCTCCAATCTTTTAATAGCCAATTAAAAATGTAAGTAATGTTCTATATAACATTGACATAAATTATTGAAATCATAACAAAACAACAAAATGAAGAGCAAACAACAGTTCAAACCTGGACATTCAATGTGAAAGAGTCCTTTTCCCAGCATCTGAAAGTTGACATTTGAGGATCAGGAAGGCAGGCGGGCTTCTGTGATTGAAAAGACCATCTCCCACTCATCTCCCGTGTGATGATAGATATCTGGAGAAAGCTTTGCAAGGATGCATGAAGAAAAATACAATCCTTTGAACTGTTTTGTGAAGTGGTTGTACTCACACTCAGATTCTAAGAAATGGGTGGGATTTTTGGAGGTGCCAAAAGAAACCCTTTAGACAATTTGTTTGTCCCAAAGTAATCAAACTAAACCCTTTCTTTTATTTTGGAACAGTGCATATTATTTTTATAATCCAGCACAGTGAGGTTTCAAAGGGCGCAGATATAGCAATTGCTATTAAATCAGGAATTAGTATTGGTCATACACGTTACCTTTTCCATTCCCTTGTGCACTAGGTTTAATATTTAATCATAGTTTCCTTCAGGCAAAATTCCCAATTAAATGCAAAATTATTGTTTAATTCAGCTTTCAGCAATTCCCAGAATGTCCAAGCAGCATAAAGCTTGGAAGACACCAAGTTTGGAATTTAGTCAATTATTAAATTCCAGTTGGTTAAACTATGACTGGAAATATAAATCAAACTGTAATTTTAAAACATGGTAACCAAACAGTCAGGACATCACTGTTAATAGAAAAAAGATTTTTAAATTTTATTTGTATTGCTTTTCAGATAATAACAGAAAAAGAAAAGAAGCAAAACACTAAAATAATGTGTATACATACACTCTCAAATAAATAGTACATAAAAAGTGTGTTGGGGGGGACAGAAAAAAGAAAGAAATGAAGTATAATGCATCATTATGACAGTTAACAGTTACAATTCTGTATATACTTATTGAATGTAAATATTATTCAAGTAAGTAAACATTTATTTCTAATCCATTTATATAGCTATCATTCTTCTACTATACTATATATTGTATATACTATACTTTGTACAAATTAGTACCTTATTTCATTACGTTTGCTCATACCAAGTCTACATTATAAACAATCTGCACAAATATAATCAATCCATTGAACAAGTGGAGCCATATATTTATCTTTCCAATGCTGTAATATCAATCCTTTGACCATCGTAAGGGCACAGAGCAGGGGTGAAATCCAGCAGGTTTTGACTGGTTCTGGAGAACCAGTAGAGGAAATTTTGAGTAGTTCGGAGAACTGGCAAATATCACCTCTGACTGACCCTATAGTGGGGTGGGAATGGAGATTTTGCAATATCCTTCCCCCAGGAGTGGGGAGGGAATGGGGATTTTGCAGTATCCTTCCCCTGCCATGCCCACCAAGTCCACCATGTCCACCAAGCCACGCCCACAGAACCGGTAGTAAAAAAATTTGGATTTCATCACTGGCACAGAGAATCCATTTACCTTGTCCAGAAGTTGATAGAACACAAAACAACAACAACAACAAAAAGTCTCAGTTGACATACTGAAGAGAGTGCGTTGAAGGACATATAGCCCCAGACCCTGAGTAATCAAAAGGTTCCATCATTCACTATGACAGATACAGTTTAAGAGTATCTACTGAGGGACTTCCGGTTTAGCGTTACGACAAGACAGTCGGGGAAATAGCGGGCTCTGATGAGCGCCGCGAAAACCCTGGCTGCTGAACCGCTGCCAATGGGTCTTCGGACCGGAACCATCCTGCAGGGATGGGGAAGAAAGAGGGGTGCCTCGGACGACCAAGAGGAACAGGCAAATTCCTCAGAGATCAGAGGGAACCCTCTGTGAGTCGGTGGCGGGGGGGCGGCAGCCATGGCAGCTCCCACAAAGCTGGGACAACCGGGCTAAGAGATGTGCAGGAGGAAAGTGGATTGAAACGGAGCTCTTTGAAACCGGGTGAGTGACAACCAACCCAGGCTTGTAACAACTCTAGAGCAATATTTTTAACCATAAGACCCCTAGCCATAAAACAGCGGCTGTATAACAAAGGGGCAATGGAAAGTTTAAAATGTAACTTTAAAGAGACAAAGACCCGACAAACAACTAATTTTTGAACAGAACCAATTGAAAAAACTAAATTTTGAGACATGGTGAAAAGACGACAGAGTTTTAAAATTTGAGCTGGACTTTAAAAAAGAAGAAGATTTGATATTTTTAAAATTAAAAGAAGAAGAGTAATCAAGTTGGACTGTTATATAATTGAAACAAAATGGATACTTGCATGACTAATGGAAATTGTGGATTGTAGAGAGACACCTTCTGGTTCAAAAAGGAACATTGTTACTTGCCTTTTGTTATGGAAAATTGTGAACTCTACAATTTTGTAGAGGAGGATTGTAGAGGATTTTGTGGAGGAGGTTTTTCTTCTTGTCTGCAGGCATCTTGACTTTGGTGAAAAGAAAGGGAAACTATAATGGAACTCTTATAATTGGAATAATAGCAACTTAAAAAACTGGTGCAGGAATAAGAGAAGGATCTGGCACAGGAACAAGAGAAGGAAGAATTTGATACATTTTATCCAGAATAAAAGTAAGAAAAAGAACTAAAATGATACATGGAGGACAAAATTTGAAGAATTTGAAAATGAAATGAAATATATGCTAGCAGGTGAGAACATGAAGAAATAAGGTATACACGGCTGGAAAAAGGAAAAGGAGATTAAAACAGTGTGATTAAAAATGGAAAAGCAATGTATAGGTGGATAGTAATAATAAAAAGGAGGTTCTTATAGATAAATATGGATAAATAGGAATATGAGAAGAATATGTTATAGATATATAAAATTGAAATACTGATGGAAATTAGAATATATAGAGAGATAAATTATGTTAAAAGAGATTTATAAATGCATACAAAGATGCGTTTGAAGTAAGAACTATGTCTCAATGTTAAATTGTCATAAAAAAGATAATGATAATATGATTAACTGGGAATAAGTAATGTATAGATGGATGGTAACAACAAAAGACGATTATGCTGGGATTAACAGCAAAATAAAAATGATTATGCTGGATTTAACAGCAAAAAAATAAAAATGATTATGCTGGCTATGACAGCAAAAATAAGGAGGATTATGCTGGGACTAACAGTAAAAATGAAATGATTATGCTGGGTTTAACAGTAAAAACAAGGATGATTATGCTGGGATTAACAGTAAAAATAAAATGATTATGCTGGGATTAACAGTAAAATTAGGATGATTATGCTGGGATTAACAGCAAAAAACAAAAATGATTATGCTGGGTATGACAGCAAAAACAAGGAGGATTATGCTGGGATTAACAGTAAAAATGAAATGATTATGATGGGTTAAACAGTTAAAATAAAGAAAAATATGCTGGGATTAACAGTAAAAGATGATGATTAAGATGAAGATGATGTGTTAGGATAAACAGTTAGGATTAGCGGTAAAAATAAGATGATTATATTGGGATTAATAATTAAAATTAGGATGATAATGTTAGGATAAACAGCAATGAAGATGATTATATTGGGAGCAACAGTTAAAACATTGTTTAAATGCTTATAATAATTGTAATGATTTATATTTTTAAAATACATTCATCTAAGTAAAAAGAAAAAGAAAAATGAAGGGATATTTGGTCAGGATTTAAAGATTTAAGTAACGGGTTTTTGGGATAACGGCACTGTTAAATAGACAGAATTTAGGGAAATAATTGAGTAAAACATTAAGTTGTGTTAATTGAAAATTAAGATTTGTTAGTGATTTGTACCAATTTATGACCAGATCAATGCTTCGTTTTGAAAAGATGTATTTTATATTTATGTTTTAAAAAATAATTTTTTAAAAAAGAGTATCTACTGCAAGCAATGAGAAAGGGACAGGCTTCCTTGCCCATTTGTGTACCTTTTATTTCTTACCTAGGGTTGTATTGGCAGGTGTTTGGTTTTTAAATACTTAGGAACATAAGTACATAGTTGTAATGGCTGAATGTTCACACTTACTTTCACTTTGACTTTACTTTGACTTACTTTCAATTATATGTTGAGAATCGTATGTTTTCTTCCCACGACTTTAGGGAGACAAAGAGGCGGAGCTGGGGCTACCATTCTCTCCTCTCTGTGACCGGAAATCCACCATGGTAGCACAGTCCCAAATAGGTAAGGGCTGGTTTCTTAAATAAAAAAAAAAAGTCTTATAATGAAAGAAAGAAATGCTTGACAAAACAGGATTGGCTTTGTTAAGCAGGTCAGTCCCCAACTATTTTTCAATATACATTGCTCATGGAGAATAGCATCACTGGAAAAATTACATAGAGGATTCATAGACTTTTTAACTAGTGCTTTGGGATCGCTGCTTGTTTTCTCAATTCTTTTGCACCACTGCTGGTGTAAATGAGGAAGGGGCTTCACAGTGTACCTTTCTCATTCACAAGTGACTATCAGTGCCAGTGGTGGTATTCAGCCGGTTCGGACCAGTTTGGGCCAACCGGTAGCGGCGATCGCAGGTGGGCCCGCTCGCCCACCTACCCTGGTGCTATGCTGTCCTATTTAGCCATGTTGTCAAGGGCGGGCACATGAACGGAAGGTGTGAGCAAAGTGCATGCACAGAAGACCGGGTGCATGCGCGGAAGGCATGCACAAAGCGAGTGTGTGCGCGCGGGACGAACCAGTGGTAAAAATATGTGAAACCCACCTCTGATCAGTGCCCTTTCTTAGTTCATTTTTATGGCAGTGACTCAGACTCTGTCATGTGTCTAGGTAGTTACATTACCCGTTGGATGTTATCAAGATTAGCTCTCAGTCACAGGTATATGCAGTGGTGGGATTCAAGTAATTTAACAACCGGTTCTCTGCCCTAATGATTTCTTCCAACAACCAGTTTGCCAAACTGCCCAGAAAGTTAACAACCGGTTCTCCTGAACTGGTGTGAACTGGCTGAATCCCACCACTGGTTATATGGGTGAATCAGTGATGTGAGAGAAGGAAATATTGCAAATGTATAAATATTGTGGCTTAATGCTGGTTCACAAAGAAGCGTTGCTTCCTTCCCTATAAAAAGCTGTTTCATGAGCCACTTTTCTCCATAGTCTTTTCTAGCTTCTGTTCTTGTAGGGAGGATAGACACCAAGTCACAAAACAAAGACAAATAAAGCAGAGAGCAGAACTTCTTTATTCTTTATTCTTCCCAACATGTTTTGGAAAATACATGACCAATTCTTAATGCATATGAAGAAACTAATTTTTTAGTTTAGTTTAGTAATTGCAGGATCCAATCTGAGTCGGTCCCTGGGATCAGAGGTTTAGTCTTCCAAGCTTTTGGACTCATGCTGCAGCCCATCCTCAGGAAACCCCTGAGCCTCTTTCCTGAGGATGGGCTCCAGCATGAGTCCAAAAGCTTAGAAGACTAAACTTCTGATCCCAAGAATCCTGCATCCTTATCTTGGCACACATTTATATGCCTTCATTTATAACAAATAATAGCTTATAGAGTCTCCTACTTCAGCAGGGGATTGGAATAGAAGACCTCTATTAAACAAGATTTTACATTAGCATAAACATATTTATCGCATTAAAGGCATTCTATTGGTACTATAATTATCCCCTTTCTAGATGAAGAAAACATTTTCCGTATGTTTCCATCAGTTTCCTAATAGTCCTCCATAAGAATTGTTTTCAAGGTAGCATGCTCCTTTTTGAATTGATCCATAAAATGTTTGATTACTTCTGGACCATGGTGTATCCCATGGCTTGGTTCTGGGATATATTTGTATAGACTAGGGCTATAGATGCTTCAAAAATGATGAATAAAAAGTGCTTCAGATGCCCCAGGAGTGCAGTACTTCCCTACTCCTTATCAATTTGTAACGCTATATTTAATGGGACATTTATTTAGCATGACGCAATGACCTTGGAAGACAAGAGGAAGAGGTTGCCTAAGGAACAGTCAGATAAGAAAGAGCATAGCCCACAGATTCTTAATAGAGAAGAGACACTGAAAGGAACCCATGTTAGACTGTAAAAAAGATAGCAGAAAATTTGTACCATTAGACTTGCAAGATTCTATTAATGTCATTAACTCATCTGGATGTGTTTCATGTCTGGGTTACCTTGCGGAGCTGACATATATCAAGAGGATGTAAAATCTGTACATAGAACGTACCGTTCTATGTACCATTCTATGTTGAGTTTATCTTTTTCCTTGTTAGGCTCTTACTGAAACATACTTTAGTGCTTTGACAAATGTTTTCTTTTAAATAAAATGAAGACCAGACAAGAAACACAAGTGCATTGTTCAGTATTGCCATATAAGAGCCGTGGGCTGAATTCTGTCTCCAAGGGTTATTTCTTGTTTCATTCACTAATCTGACAGAACATTGCCAACATGTTGTCAAATCACACCAGCAACACATAATAAAGAGTCATTTCAAATATAAATCCAATCACATAAAGCTTCAGATGCTCAAGTCGAAATTATCTGAATTCATTTCAGTCATGTTCCGGGCTTAGAATCAGCACAAAGGCACTTACTGGTGATTTCTGGTGGTAACGGGATAGGACTAATGTACCCCTTCTAATGTTGCTTAATCTCTCTATGGTTTTCAATACAATCAGTTAAACCTCTGAGCCATTTCCAATAATTTAGGTGGGGGAAGGAGATTACATTGCAATGGTTCTACTCCTTCCCAAAGAGATGGATTTAGTTGTTTGTTGTACGGGAGGACAGCTCAAGCTCTAGACACCTTAATTGGGGTCTACATATTCTGTACTACTGTGTTTCCCTGAAAATACAACCTAATCTACCCCGAAAGTAAGCCCTAGCTTGATTTTTACACATGCACCCAATATAAACCCTACCCCCAAAATAATCCCTAGTTAAGACCCCACCTACTCCGTTGCTCCTGGTTGCATGGGGTGGGTTGAGGCACATGGGTAAAAATCAAGCAAGGGTTGGGATGGGGGAGTTGAGCTGCTTACCTTCAGACAGTTGCAGCCAGGCCTCGCACACCCCGACACCTGCCTCGCCTTGCTGGCCCACTTCTTCTGTGGCCGTTTGCCACAGGATAGGCCTCTGCAGCTGAGAAACAAGCTCCAGATTGATGAATGTGATGCCCCCTGGCTTCCATTTTGCCATCAGAAACCTTCCGGAAAACTCTTTTAGATCAATCCAGAGCTCTTTTTATCAGCTGCAGAGGCCAGGGGGTGGGGACCATGTGCCAGCAGTGGCAAGTAGCCGCAGAAGAAGTGGGCCAGCAGCAGGCTCCTGCTGGGTGTGGCTTCGATGCAGCTGTCGCGAAGTGAGTCAATGGAAGACATCCCACAAAAATAAGACCTGGTGGCAAAAAATATATAAGACCAGGTATTATATTCAGGGAAACATGGTACTATTCAACATCTACATAAAGCTTTTGGATGAGATTGTTGGGACCACTGGTATACTGATGATACCCAACTGGAAATCTTGATCCCAGCTGAGTGATGCTGCTGAAGTGCTATGCAGGTGCTTGAAAGCTGTCTGGATGGGGTGGAACAGGTTGAGGCTCAGTTGCAGGAAGACAGCGTGGTTCTGAGTTCAGAGGATAGCTATTTCCAGTGAGATACTATCTTTACTTTAAACAGGGTTGCATTCCTCCAGATTTGCAGTTTGGAGGTCTTCTTAGATTTACAACTTCTGCTTGAACAGCTGACAGATGTGGCCAAGAAAGTCTTCACTCAGTTCCATCTATTCCTGAAATGGCAGGCATTACTCACTGTCACTAATGCCTTTGTCACCACTTGATTGATGACTATTGTAGTGTGGTTTATGTAGGGCTATTTTTGAAAACAGCGTTTGGGAGCAATAGCTAGTCCAGAATGCAGCCACTTGAGGTGGGTACTCCCTGAGGGGCTCATGTAACACTTTTACTCCGAGAGCTGAACTATTTCCGCTTGGTGTGCAGGTGCAATTCAAAGTGCTATTTGTCACTTTAAAACCCTTCAGGGTTGGAGGCATGCATATTTGCAGAACCATCTTCTCTCAATAAAATCCAACTTGGTTTGCTATGTATCTGTCAGAACTACAAGATTAGCAAGGTCATGAAACAAAAGAAGCAAGGATTTCATTTAAAACAAATTATTGTAGGCATTGTAGTATCATCTTGAAAGCATGTCAAAGTTTTTCTCTACCATATCTTATGCCAAAGACAATCAAGGCAGGGCCCCTTTAAGTTTCTTTCTCGTGTTTTCCTCCTTCTCATAACTGAGAAATCTTTTCTCCTCTCTGAATGGTTCATTGTTCCCCTCTCACGACAGACTATGTTCTTTCATATCTTTCTCTCAATTTGAAGTTGTCATCTTTCAGAGCCAAAGAAACATGACTTTCAAACTACTACTTCCTCCTCTGGAACAGCATACTCCCAGTGTGCAAACTGACTGTTCCCTCTCCTGGCTTTTCAGAAGCTGGTGGCAACCTGGTCATTCCATTGAATCAAGCAAACTGGATTGGTGTCACGGCTTTCTCCTGGAGAGGGGCATTTCTATACCATGGTTAATGCCTTTAGTCATGCCTTCCATTGCCATAGGAATACTTTTAGTTTCTGGTTCACTTAATTGTATGTATTTGAACCTCAATTGCATAGTGGGGAATTTGTACACAGTTTTGTTGTTGTTGTTAGTTACGAAGTGGTTGTTCTGCCCCAGCTATGGACCCCAAAAAACGCAGCACACACAGTCCATTCAAACCTTAGTTTACTAAGTAAACCAGTCTTTTACAACAACGGCTGTTAATTAATTGCATTAACAGCCGCCAAGAATTCAAAGAATAATAACTGAAAGCTTACTATGGTTGGCAGAATGCCCAGAAGCAATTTGCAGGAAGCTGATAAGATAAGCAAGACAAGACACGAAGGTATGTGAACTAAGTTGTTCCCTGCAACTTTGCTTCAGTCAGCGTTCCTCCTTAAATAGGCTAAGGGAGGGGCCAATTAGCCCCAAGCTTTACTCTTGAGAAGACCTCCTTCTGAGGAGCCACTCCTGCCTTTTGGCAGATCTGCGTGCCCGTGCATCAAGAAGAGGCTCCTTCTTTTCATCCTCTTCACTTAAGGGAGCTTCTGGAGGTTCTGAAGGCCCTGGCTGAATCCCCGCCTCTGGCACCACATCTTCTCCAGCCTTCTCATTGTCCGACTTGAGTGCCAGCTGCACAGGCTGCTGGCACATCATAACACCAGCCTCCTCACTGTCTGAATCAGCTACTAGCTGCACAGGCCACGTAAGGGCCACAACAGTGGTGGTCCGACCCATCGTGACCCCATGGACAATTTTCCTCCAGGCCTTCTTGTCCTCTACCATCCTCTGGAGTCCATTTAATCTCACGGTGACTGCTTCAGTGACTCCATCCAGCCACCTCATTCTCTGCTGTCCCCTTCTTCTTTTGCCCTCAATCATTCCCAGCATTAGGCTCTTCTCCAGTGAGTCCTTCCTTCTCATTAGGTGGCCAAAGTATTTGAGTTTCATCTTCAGGATCTGGTCTTCTAAAGAGCAGTCAGGGTTGATCTTAACCTTATACAAGTAGCCCTTGATTTACGACCGCAGCTGGGACCAGAATTTCCACTGCTGAGCAAGATGGTTTGTTAAGTGTGTCCCACCTAATTCTGCAACCATTTTTCCCCACCGTTGTTAAGCGAATCACTGCACTTAAGTGAATCATGCAGTTGTTAAGTAAATCCAGCTTCCGCCAATATCTTTGCTTGCCAGAAGCTAGCTGGGAAGGTCACAAATGGCAACCACATGACCCTGGGACACTGCAACTGTGTTACATACATGTTGGTTGCCAAGTGCCTGAATTTTGATCACATGACCATGCTGCAACAGTTATAAACGTGAGGACTGGTTGTAAATTTTTTTCCAGGGGCATTGTAACTTGGCTAAACAAATGGTTGTAAATTGAGGACTCCCTGTAAGCCCTGCAAACAAACAAACAAAATGCTGCTTAACATAAAGCAGAGTTATCTGAGAGTCAGCATCATGGGATTCAGTGGCATTCATTTCAGATGAAACATGCAGAAGGGGGATCCAACGTAAAAACTAGCTGAGTTGAGGGACAAATGTAACAATGAAATAAACCCTGATCGTTAGGGGCCAACTCTGTGCTTTTCTTCATTCAGTGCTTTTTTTTTCAGAGAGAAACCTTGCAGAATAATTACTGGATTAAGAAAATGAAAACCTGTAAATACAAAAGGTTGAGTTCTTTTTCAGCTTTTATGTTGCGAGTCAACATAAAAATCACAGTCCTGGATCTACAGCACGTTACATTCAGAGTAAAATAAGTATATCAAGTTGGAGGCAACTGTAACAAGGCATCTCCTCTATCGGATGCCATTTTAGATTCACATCTACTGAACTCGTTCTCTTGGCTTACCCATTTTCTCTCACACCTCCCTTCTTCTGTGCACTATGAACAAAATACAACTAATCCCACTTAAGAGAGCATGCCAGACGGAACAAACAAAATGATAGTCTATGGAGATTCTCAGTCATCCAGGTCATGGTTGTTCCAAAGGTGTTTTTCCAGGAGGCAGCTGGACTTCCTTGTTTTTCTTTGAAGACATTTCGCTTCTCATCCAAGAAACTTCTTCAGCTCTGATTGGATGGTGGGGAACGCAAGAATTTATATTCCTTGCAGACTGCTGGTCATTTTTACTCTTTTAGAGAGTCGTTGAGGCCACCTGGAGGTTTGCCTATGTTCTCAGGGTCACCTGAGCAGTACAAATGGGTCAGGGGTGGGTTCTAAAATTTGTTACTACCGGTTCTGTGGGCGTGGCTTATTTTGTGGGTGTGGCTTGGTGGAGGGGTAATGTAACGGTGGGCGTGGCCAACTTTTTTTTTTTTACTTTTAAAAGCATTTTTTCTACAACCTTAAGAGGTTGCAGAAAAAATGCTTTTAGAAGCCTCTGACGATCAGGCAAGTCAGCTGGGATCGCCAGAGGCTTTTAAAGGCATTTTTTTTCTACAAAATGCTTTTAAAAGCCTCTGACGATCCCAGCTGAGCCGCACAATCGTCAGAGGCTTTTTTTTTAACTTTTAAAAGCATTTTTTCGGCTGAAGAGGTTGTAGAAAAAATGCTTTTAAAAGTAAAAAAAAAAATGATGAGGTGGGTGGGGTAAGCGAGTGGCGACTGGCCGGGGACCGGTTTGGGCGCGTGGCCAGCCAATGTTATTACCGGTTCTTCGAACTACTACAAATTTTTACTACCGGTTCTTGCAAACCGGTGCGAACCAGGAGCAACCCACCACTGAAATGGGTGTGGAGCCTTCTTGGCTACAGGATGTTTTCCTACCTGTTTCAGACTACAGGAACCATTTGTGCAGGTAACACAGACTCCTCCCCAACAGCCTGAGCCCAACTTCAACAGTAAAGGGACACAGGGCAGAAAACATCCTGTAGCCAGGAAGGCTCCACACCCATTTGCACTACTCAGATGACCCTGAGGACACAGATAAACTTCCAAGTGGCCTCAACGACTCTCTTAATGACCATCTGTCTGCAAGGAATATAAATCCTTCCATTCCCCACCATCCAGTCAGAACTGAAGAAGCTTCTTGGATGAGAAGCAAAAAGTCTTCAAAGAAAAACAAGAAAGTCCAGCTGCCTCCTGAAAAAAAGCACCTTTGGGACAAACAAAATGCTTCCATTTTCAAAGAATTTATTGGTTGAATCCAGGGCAATGTCTAGTGAAGTTCTGGCTATGGCAGCATTTGGAAGGGAAGGGTTTGTTTTGCTATTTTTTATTTCCTGGGTCTCCCACCCCCACAAAAGATTTCTGGGAGAATATTATCGGGAGGAGACATCTGTCAAATGCCAGGAGAAATCAGTGAGGTCCGTCTCGCCATTCCTTTTTTTCTTGCACAAAACCTTAACTGGATCTCAGTGTTCTTCCATTTGTACAATGTCCTAGATATTTCCTGCTTATATGAATGGTGTTATTGGGGTGTTGGAAGAAATGTCCATCTGGGTTCAGTTCCAAGTGGGAAGAAAGACACTGGAAATATGGAGACTGCTTGGAAAGATGGTTTAATGATGGACAGGACCACATGGGTTTCTTGGTCCTGGGCAAAGAAAAAGGGAACAGATGCTGAGAGTCTCTGGGTTTTATACCCTCTCTGGCTTTGAACTTCCTGGGGCACAGGAAGAGTATCTTGATTGGTTGCTGTCAGAGGTCATAACTAGCTTTGTAGGCTGTCTGTATGGTAAATTTGGTTGAATCTTGCTGGGTGATGCAGTGAAGGGCAATTAAATGGCTCTGCCTGAAGGAGGTAGGTCTTTATTTATTTATTTATTGGTTCGATTTATATGCCGCCCTTCTCCGGAGACTCAGGGTGGCTTACAATGCGTTAAGCAATAGCCTTCATACTTTGTATATACCTGCTTAGCAGGGCTTTCGCCCCCCCCCTAAGCGGTGTTCTTTTTTATACAGTCAGTTTATTGCCCCCACAATCCGGGTCCTCATTTTACCTACCTCGAAAGGATGGAAGGCTGAGTCAACCTTGAGCCTGGTGAGATTTGAACTTGCAGTAATTGCAGGCAGCTGGTGCTACTTAACAGCACTTTAGTCTGCTGCGTTACCAAGGCTCTTTGTTACGTAGAATAGACTGGTCCAGGCCTTAATGGCCCATTACCAAGAGGGGGGGGGGCTGAGTTTCTGTCTCCTTTTTAGGGGAAATTTTCTGCCCTTTTAATATTTCCTAGAATATTTCATTCTTCTAAGAGAGGGGTGGGTGCTAACTTCCTACAGGGGATTCCCACAGATTTGCTTTCTGTATTCTCCTCTCCTGCCATGGATTGAAACTGATCCTTGTTTAGTTTCCCCAGTGCTAACATCGCCAATGTCAAGATTTTCATTCTGACTGAAGAAGCTCTAAACGTTGTCTATCCTCACCCCACCCTTTCTATTGTTCTACAGGTTTCATTGATTTCATAGTGAAACCAACATTTGCTCTTCTTACTGACTCCATGGAGAAAATAATTTTTCCTCTTATAGAGGAAGCATCCAAATCCGAAAGTCCTACCTTTGTGACAGAACCAAGGTTTGAGGTTTTGGGTTTTGTTTTTTCTCGTTTTCCTCCTGAACTATTTTAATTTTCAGAAACTGCAATGATCCTGATATAGTACTGCCATCTAGTGGCAATATTTGCACATTGTTATCTATAGGGATTGTATTCTAGTCAAGTTGGAAACTGAATGTATGAAAGGCAAAAAACAGGATGTGTTGTTTATTCTGGTTTTGCTTATTGTAGAGTAGAATGTTTACATATAAATTGTTAGGTAGAAAATATTAAAGGAGGGATTGGGACTCGCATATAATCTGATTTTTCTCATCCTGAGCAAATTGCAGAAAAATCTGTTTTATTGTGTGGATTATTTCCCCTCTTATTGTAATACCATAAACATTGGCTACAGATACTTTATCTGTTATCATCTGAAGTCAAAGGTGAATGTTTTGATTTGATATCATGAAATACCTTTAAAATGAATACCTCTGCTCCATTTTAATGGGGGAAAGGACTACCCAGGAGTTAGCAGATGCTTTAGTTCATTGGCAAAAAAACTTAAAACATAAAATACAAATTAGATGAACATGACCTTGTAGATGACCCTCACTCTGTCAAGGACCTTGGAGTACTCATTTCTAATGATCTAAGTGCCTGAGCCCACTGTAACAACATTGCCAAAAAGGCATTAAGAATTGTTAACCTAATCTTGCTTAGCTTCTTCTCTGGTAATGTTGTACTACTAACTAGAGCATACAAAACATTTGCTAGACCAATTCTTGAATATAGCTCATCTGTCTGGAACCCACACTGCATATCGGACATAAATACAATCAAGAGAGTCCAGAGATATTTTACAAGAAGAGTCCTCCATTCCTCTAACCGCAATAAAATACCTTATGCCACCAGACTTCAAATTTTGGACTTAGACAACTTAGAACTACGCTGACTTCAGTCTGACCTAAGCATAGTACATAAAATTATCTGCCACAATGTACTTCCTGTCAATGACTACTTCAGCTTCAACCACAACAATACACGAGCAAATAATAGATACAAACTCAAGGTAAACCGTTCCAAACTCGATTGCAGAAAATATGACTTCAGTAACAGAGTGGTCAATGCCTGGAATGCACTACCTGACTCTGTAGTTTCTTCCCCAAACCCCCAAAACTTTAACCTTAAACTGTCTACTGCTGACCTCTACTCCATTCCTAAGAGGTCTGTAAGGGGCATGCATAAGTGCACCAGCGTGCCTACCGTCCCTGTCCTAATATTTCTTTTTACTTACTCCTTTCATGTATTCAAATTATGTTTATACTTTTACCTGTTATCTTATATATGCTTGACAAATAAACTTATGATTTATGATTTATCTAATCCAGTTTATTTAAGTTTCAGTGCTTTGTATTCTTTCCTGGAAATCAGTATCATTGAAATCACTGAGGCTTGTTTCTAAACTAGCCTTTTCCATTTGTAGTCCCCTGTCCACATTACTTAACACTCACAGAATTTCCACCTATAGAGGGAAACATGTTAGAATGGTTGCTGTACTTTACTTTTCTTTATTGATTAACCCTTGGGCCATATCAAAGTGCAGAGTTCCAGACACAAACTATTACTAAAATCTGATAAAAACAATTTAAAATGGAATTGGATAAAATATAATTTAAAATGAAATTGGAATAAAATACAATTTAAAATGAAATTGGAATAAATTGGTTGCTGTACAATGTGCACATCATGAGAATGCATGAATTGATCCCAATTTAGTTGAATTCTGCATTCTGGAGGAATGCAACATTTTGGAGTATACCAAAATTGTTCTGCTTTTGTATTTCCAGGCAGTAAAGGCGTCTTAATTCTAATTAAACTTTTTCCCGTCTTTGTAGTGAAAATAGTACAGGAAGTACCAGCAGCGATATACACAAAAAGATCAGTATAAAAAATGCTGCATGTGTTGGTGGGACCTGCTCGGAAAACGCTTTGGCAATGGTGGATTTAAGAAGCTTTAAGGACAACCTATTCCACAACATACAGGAAAACAAAGACAGGTGGAAAGATTTAGCAGAAAAAGGTATGTTTTCCCTTGCCAGTACACCAATATTGTCATGTAATTTCATCTTTTCATCTGTGCTTGTTATGCCATCTTGGCATATGAATAACAAGACTAGATTTGCTAATGGTGATGTGGATGAAGGAAAACAAATAGCTTCAATACAGCAATTATTCACCATATGCACAGTGAAATAGGAACTCTTTTTTTTCTTCCTTTTTTTCTCTTTGTTTTTGCAGAATTGTAGTCAAATTGGTATTTGTCCGATACCTCAAATGGCTGCATTTATATGTTCAAGCCACTAGATGGTATATATCTACATCTTGTATCTTGCATATCAGGAATAGATGAAATTGGAATTGGAATATAGGCTAGAGAAAAGTGCTGAGAATAAAAAGGTATCAATTAATAGGCCCAAATGTATGTTGTTCATTTGGAAAAATTGATCACATGCACAGAACATGCCAATAGTTGGCAGGTTATGTGTGAAAAGGATTTTGAGATTGGAATGACAAGCTGAATTTAAATCAGCTGAACATGCTTTTGGGTTGCCAAAATAAACCCCAAATGCAATTTAAGCAACATAAATAAAAATGTAATTTTCAAATAATAGGAAATTAATAGTTCTGTATACTGCATTGCTCCAGCTCCACTTGGTTCCTATGCTGGGATTCAAAGAAACTAAAGTAAAGGATGGAAAGAAGGTTAGAAAAGAAGAGAGAACCAGAAACTAATTTAAATGAAGAGTCTGAGGGGGACTGGGCAAAGTTACTTGGGGTTGGGAGGACAACTAAGGAGAGAGATTATAGCATTCCTCAATTATTTAAATGGAATCATCCAGAAGAAGAAACAAGACAATATCTGACATCCTAGAGTGCATGACAGAGATGGGTTTCAGCACCTGGAGAACAGGTAGTGGAAATTTTGAGTAGTTCGGAGAACTGGTAAATACAACCTCTGACTGGCCCCACCCCCATCTATTCTCTGCCTCTCGAGTCCCAGCTGATTGGGAGAAAATGGGGATTTTGTAGGAACTTTCCCCTGGAGTGGGGTGGAAATGGAGATTTTACAGTAGCCTTCCCCTGCCACACCCACCAAGCCATGCCATGCCATGCCCACCAAGCCACACCCTCAGAACCGGTAGTAAAAAAAAAATAATCCCACCACTGGTTCATGACATATAATAAACTGTGGGAAGGCAGATTCTGATTGAAAGTTAGGAAGCACTTCTTAATAGCAAGAGCAACTTGACAGTGAAACATTATCAAGTGAGTTGGTAAGACTCAGCCAGTGGTGCAATTACCCGGTTCTCCAAACTTCACAAAAATTTAACAACCAGTTCATCCGAACCAGTCTGAACTGGCTGAATCCCACCTCTGGCTGGAAGAGAAAGAATGCAATGATTAGAGTGACAAACTATTTTTATACCTGTGTGATTAGTTTGCCAATAAATACTATCCTTGAAAATCCTGCCTATTGGATTGCCTGGTGAGGAATAGTTGCTCCGTTCTCTGTGTCTCTGTCTTCTCCTAGAACCTTTTAGGCTCACTGAGCAAATCAATTTGCTTACTGAGAGAGAAAGAAAGCAAGAAAGAATAAGAGATTCCGATATATTTTACTGTTCTTTTTCCTAATCTGCTTTGCTCTTTCTTGTAAACCTCTAACTTTGCCAAGAATGTAACTTCTTATGCTAATGTTCCATTCATTTTCAGATTAGTTGTCTGACCTTCCATAAAGTCCTTGTTAATCTCTGGATGCCGTCTGCAGTCTCTTCCATTCCTCTGCCTCCCCCAAATGAAAAACAAATACCATCTCACCCAAATCCTTTGTTCTTTTCTGCATCTTGTCCAGATCTGTTTTACCCTATACTAAGTGGGTTAGTTTAATTGACAGGAGGTTTTTTTTGGGGGGGGGGTGCAGGATGATAGAATTTGTATCGTCACATCCTGATGCGAATCTTGTGCCTTATAAACTTCCATCCGATCTTGGGCACAAGTATATCCGGGTGGAACCTGCCTCCTAATATGACTGTGGATGTGTCATGTTAACCTCATCTTAGTTTGTTGATGATGCCTATGTGAACAAATCTGAGACAGTGTGCTCACTGTTCTATTATCTGCTATTATCTACTATCGGGTATAACATGAAGTATTTCATATACTAGTTTATTATGTGCACAATGAAAATGACATATTTAGCTGAGGATATTTGAAAGTAAGCCCCATTGACGTCAAGAAGTAGACCTTCTTCCCAGAGAAGTAAATGACTGCAGATTTGTCATTTGTTGAATGTCAAATCTTTTGAGACACCATGGTAACCTTTTCTAGGTAAATAGTAAGGATTGCCACCTTTTTATGGCTGAGCCATTCACTTTCTATTAGAAAGTACATCCCCTTAATTGCAGGCATTTAATATCATTATAGAGTCCCTGGGGCAAAGTCATTTCTAGTAAAAAAAAAACAAAAAAACACCGACTTGGGTTCCATTGCTAATTTACATTAATTTCAGGAGACGCTTCCCTATAGGAGAAGTTGCAGAATATTGCATTTCATTATCTTGGAAGGTTATGTTGCTTGCATGGCGTGAGAGAAGGCTCTTGATAATGCACTATCATAATTAGCTTGGATTAGAACTAATAAAAGCATCTGGATGCATTCTGGAAGGAATGTTCATTATATAGCTGATCTCCAGGGAAATAATTGCTTGTAGATAAAAATCAGTCCTTTATAGCGTACTTATTTACTGTATGTTTAATATATCATATACTAATAAATTTGGGACAAGCCCTGGAACTGAGTTGGTTGAATGATTTGCTCAATCTTAAATCTATTTGATTACTTTCAGTGGGACAAGGGAAAATTACATCCTCTGAAGGATTTAAATGTAGTAACCATTTTTTTTTTCCAGTGAAGATTCCTCAACTCAGGCAGCTCTTAGAGCTATACTAAGGTGAGGAATGGGAACCTATAGACATTATCAAAGCATTTCTTGTCTATGTAAACTTTGGGGGACAGGTCTGACAAAGCTATTTTTAAATAACATGGACAAGCTGTGACATGTACTCAAACAAGGGAGGGAATTTAATTTAATTGACATCCCTTTAAATAACTGATACCTTTCGAATCCCAGGGAAAAAATATAATCCAAATAGTGTGCTGAGAAAAAAAGTCCTTTAGGGAATCTCCCTCCGCCCCACTTCACTTGTTATATAATTTATACATGAAAATCTATACAATCCAATCAAATGTGTAAGGGGTACAGGGGATGGTCTTGAAGGACAGAGGGAAGATCCACTACCAAGACAATGATCAGACAAACAAGACTTGAACCCAGGTCAAGGAAGTGGTTTATGAAAATGCCTCAGAAAGACCCCCTCCCCCCATTTTCATGAGAAAGAGGGAGGAAGGAAAGCAGATTCAGACCTGCAAGGTACCACTGCTATAGCTGTTGTAATAAAAGGTTTCCATGGTGTCTCTTTCCGTTTGATCTAACTGGGACCTGAAACAAAATGTTGCAGTCTGAAGTTCTCCCATTTAAGGTTTCAACTCTTGCTGCCAGGGACTGCATCCTGTTCCATATTTTCTCCATGGAAGAAAGCACTGCTCCTTCGGAGCTCCCCTCACTCTCTTCTCAAGGGGCTGTTTTTTTTACTTTCCTCAGGGATGAATTCATTGGACCTCTTATTGCCACTGAGTTGCATGACCAAGGCTACATTCTAAAGATTGGGAGAAGCCTCAACAAAAGTATGGGTGCAGCCAGCACAAAAGCTAAATTTAATTTACATCTAAGCCAGGGGTGAAATTCACTTACCTTCCCTACTGGTTTGCAAATGTCCCCGCATGCGCACAGGCTTAAAATATCGCAAAAAAGTGACGTCATGATGTCCACGCAGGTAGGCGGAGTCTCCCACAGCCACCGCTACCGGTTCGCCCGAGCCAGATAGAACCGGCTGAATTTCACCCCTGATCCAGGCTTAATTAAATAAAGCTAATGTCAGGCACATTGGCAGCTGCTTGCTCCAATAATCATTCTTTGCCAGAGTTCTGAAAGGGTTCACCTTAGCAAAATATACTAAGATGAAAAGAAGGTTCATGAATTTCAACAGGTGAACCCTATTCAGCTAGAAGCAATATATCTCTCTATATATATTACAATATATGCTGTATATTACAATATACAATACAATATGTTGTATATATTACAATATACAATGCAATATATTACAAACAAGATAGAAACACCCACACATGGATTAGAGAACACACAAAAATATACAATATTATGAAGAGAATAAAAGAATTGAAATCAAAATGGGCTGGACACATAGCAATAGCAATAGCACTTAGACTTATATACCGCTTCCCAGTGCTTTACAGCCCTCTCTAAGCAGGTTACAGAGTCAGCATATTGCCTCCAACAATCTGGGTCCTTATTTTACTGCTCTCAGAATGATGGAAGACTGAGTCAACCTTTAGCCAGTGAGAATCAAACTCCTGGCAGTGAGCAGTGAGTTAGCCTGCAGTTCTGCATTCTAACCGCTGCGCCAAAACTGCTCTTAGAACTGCTGGCAGATGGACCAAGTCATAGAATGGATCCCACCTGATAAAAAGCATCCAGAAAAGATACCTAAAACAAGATGGAGCAACATCAGCAAGCATTGCTGGCCCTGTTGGCAAAAGAAAGCTCAGGGCAGGGCCATATTGGTTGGAGACATGCAGAAGATGCCTTCATCCTGCAATGGATAGACAATGGCTAAAATGATGATGATATACATATACATCATATGCATATGCATATGCATATGCATATGCATATGCATATGCATATGCATATGCATATACATATACATATACATATACATATACATATACATATACATATACAGGCAGAGACTTTCTAATTCTCTTTCTCACAGCTTTGCTATGAACTGGTCAGCAAGGAATCTCTTCCCTAATAAAAGGAAAGTTTGCAGTTGCTTCTTTAAATAAAGATCTCTTGAATCTCTTACAATTCCCATGCTTTTCGAGGGGCTACACTCAAAGTTTTTGTGCACAACATGTGCCCGGGGGCTCAGATTGTGCGCCTCTGCTCTAACCACTGAGCCACACAGGTCACCCGGCACCAAATTAAAGATGAACAGCATGTAGAGCCATTTATAGCAGTTTCTGTTTTTGAATTTCAGGCGAGCCTAATCTCAGTGAGAATTCTGAAGAGCCACTGAAAGAGCCAGAACTGTCCAGTTAGGTCAATCGTACCTTTGTTGTTTCTGCTCATTTTCAGACTAAGAGGTAAGTTATCCTAGTTCTTCTATAAATATGATTACCTTCCTTTCTTTCTCTATGCTTCTGAAAGGAAGAAGGGTTTACTTTGTTACAAAAATAAACCTTTACTAATATATTGAGGGTCTTATCATTGTGGTGCATTTATGCACACAAGGAAAAGGTGAAATTAGGGTCAAGGTTTCCCATCATCATCATCATTATCATCACTCTGCTAAACAAATAATTTCCTCAACACTGTCAAACTATTCTGCATTATTAAGTCTGCATTACTATTACTATTAATCTTCTCATTGTTCCTATCACCCATCTCCTCCCACTTATGACTGTATGACTGTAACTTGTTGCTGTATCCTTACGATTTATATTGATTGTTTCCTACTATGATTTGATAATTTGATTGCTTATTTGTACCCTCTGACTATCATTAAGTGTTGTACCTTATGATTCTTAACGAATGTATCTTTTCTTTTTATGTACACTGAGAGCATATGCACCAAAAACAAATTCCTTGTGTGTCCAATCACACTTGGCCAATAAAGAATTCTATCTATCTATCTATCTATGTATGTATCTATCTATCTATCATCTATCTATGTATCTATGTATCTATCTATCTATCTATCTATCTATCTATCTATCTATCTATCTATCTATCTATCTATCTATCTATCTATCTGTATCTATCATCATCCAGGCCCTAGCATTTTATAATCTGTATTCATATTCACCATCTTTACGCTTTAAGCTGTGATTTTTTTTAAAAAAAGGTAGTTTGGCAGCAACTTTTCCAACAAAAACACCTTACTTTGTTGCTCTAAATTTAACAAATGTCATGAACTCACAAAAGCTGATGCCTCCCAATAAAATTTGTTAGTTGGAAAAGGTACCAGACTCCTCCTGTCAGCTGGAAAAGAGACTGTTTTTATGCTTGTATGTTTTGAGAAAAGCCTTCTGCTAATGAATCCCCTCTGGAGTCCCGGACTTTTTTCCTAGGCCAGGTGCAAACCCCCAATGTTTGAGCCAACATCAGTTCCAAGTCCAACCAATCTTAAAGGTATGCCATTCAAGGAGACAGCCAGATGATGCCCGGAGGGCTCTTACCCAGGATCCCAGCAAGCCATCTTCTTTTCAGTTTCTCAGGAGAATCCCACCCCCCAACATCTTCTCATTCCATGCTGTTCTCTTTCCAACAGACTCTAGACCAAGTTGACACATCATGCTGAGTTATGATGTGTTTTGCTTCATTTTGGTTTCATGCCAGAATAATAATAATAAAAACCCACCCTGCTTTACTCAAAAGACCACTGTGAAGTAGAGCAGAGTTAACATGAAGGCCAAAACCTCCAGTCTTGCTCCTTTTTGCAATTCTGCCCTTATATCTTTGTTGTACCTTTTATGAGTAACATTCTCAGTTTACAAAACAGTTTTCTTTTTGTCGGTACGGAGTGAACTGTGTATCCTAAATTTACTTATTCCTTGTCTCTAGTTAAATGCCTAAAGTTTCATGCAAGAACAAATCTCCGAAATGTCTCCTCTCTAATACCACTGCAGGATGAACTGAACAGCAAGAAAGGGTCTTCGTTCAACACAAGGCTGCTATCTTTTCTATGTACCACCACAAAGGAATGAGCTGATAATTCAAGGCTTTGATTTGCAGCTATCAAGACCTTGTTTGATTTCTTCTTCAGTTCTTCTATTATCCCTTAACGTAGCTGGAATACATCTTCAGCCAAAACATTTGTTAGATACACATACACACAGCCATATTGAATGACTGCTGAAGGGAGGAAGTGCCTGATTAGCAGAAACTTTGTGGAAGCTTCCTCTGAGCAGATTGCCTCACTTGGAGATGATTAAGAGGACCGTGGACTGGATCTCAACGTGCAATTAGTGTAGACAGCTGCAAGCTGCTTCTCTGCTGTCTTGTTGATTCATGACATATCCAGATGTACAGATTTCCGCTTTTATAGAAATATGGGGTAGAGGATTCAGAAAAGCTGCACTAAAAAATACTAAGAATTGTAGAAAGCCCCTTGAATAAGTAGTGATGTTTTACAGGTATCTAATGAGGTAAACCTCTGGTCTTTTACATAACCAGCCTTATTTCTGAAGGGTATAAAAATATCTATTTAAAACTAATAAAACACGGCTACGTCAAATTCTTTGAGAAGATCAAATGCTAGTTTCTGGGTCTCAGAGTCTTGGAAGAAGCCATGATTTAGCAGCTAAGCATATAGGGAGTCCATGATGCAAACTCCAGAGAAAAACAAGTTGAGACTTCAGGGTTGTATGAGAGACCTCAATCTAGGACAGGGGTCTCCAAACTTGGCAACTTTAAGACTTGGGGACTTTAACTCCCAGAATTCTGGAAGTTGAAGTCCACAAGTCTTAAAGTTGTCAAGGTTGGAGACCCCTGCTCTAGGAGCTTGCAGAACTGCTACCAGCTAAAGTCAAACTCACTAAACTAGGCAAGCCAACACTTTGTCTCTTTTTAAAGGATTCATATTGCAGACCATCTTGGTAAATATGCCAAGAGAATACTGTATGGAATTTTTTAATACATCTGAAGTTGTTTTCACTCTGTAGACAGAAGTCAGCTGGAGGCTTTCTCTCCTTCCCTACTGAGGGAAGCGGCAAAAACCAAGACTTGACAAGCGCTCTGCCTGCTTTTTCTGACTTTCTCCCTTTGGAGCTAGTTGCTCTCCACACTTTTGGGCGAGGCTAGAGAGCAAGAGCATCCATCCCATTACAAAACCCATGTCAAAGGGGTCGCCAAAGCCATATATGAGCTGTGCCTATTAGATACCAGCTATTTGATTCGAAGGAAAGTGGATCGAAATGATGATAATAATATTTAAAAAAAAAAAAAAAGCATGTGGCAACTCTTTCTGTCAAAAGGGCAGAGCTTGTATTTAAGCATTGACTTTGTGTGCAATATACCACAGCGGGACGCCCTTTGGAAGAACAAAACTGTCTGAAATGTTTCTATGATGGAACTGACACTTTTGCGGAAGTGCTTTCTCTCTTTCTGCCCTGTCTGTGAATGTGCCTATGTATGTATACGTAGTCCTGAGTACATACCCATACGCTGCTACTATCAAGTGGCAGAGGAATTTGGATAATTCACCGTGTCTTCATGCTCTCACTGAATTATTTTCCCATGATTAAAGATAACCATTCTCGTGAATGTTTTTTTGCATCGAGAAGCTTCAAGAGATATCTATCAACCCACAGGAATATATTCTTTCGTTAATCCTAGGGATTTCTCAGGAAAATACTTGTAGACTCTTCAACCTGGAGCTCCCGTGTGCAAAATGGAGATGTCCACTTCTTCGGGGGGGGGCGGGAAATAGGGGGTTCCTCAAGATCTTTTCCTTGTATGGGACTGTCCAGCAACAGCAAAGAGATCTACAGTTTTATTTTGGAAGCCCTCATATAATGCCTTAATTATTTAGGATTAATCTTTTTTGGTCACCTGCATGCTTGTAGTCATCTCGCCCACCAAATGGTAGGTCAGTTCAAATTAAAGCTTTGCCAAGCATGAGTCTTCAACAGGAAGAAAGGCAATTATCTTCTGTCAAATACGATGCAGTTTCAGCTGTAACTCCATATAAATGCCATTGTCTGCCTCTGGTAGATGTACTGTAGGTTTCTTTAAAAGCATTTGCGTTAGCACCCCTTGGGAGAGGCTCTGTGACATTGAGAAACGTTTGACCTCCTATCATTCTCAGAACATTGAGGCCAATCCGGTAGGAACATACATTTTGTGGCCTTTATTTTACCACTGAAAATTTTATTTAGTTTTATGCTACCAATGAAGAACGACAGCAGTTACTGAGCATAATCTCATAATTTTGATTTTTGCAGAGGAGAAGGGAATGCAGTGGACTCAATCCCATTAAGATCTGCTTTTGCATAGTTTGTTCGGGGTTATCCCCCCCTCTATGTTGCCTTATGTTGAAAAGGTCATATTTTCAATTGGGACAAACAGTTAAAACAAGCAAGGTATGGATAGTGGCAAGTCTTAGAATCCTAATTCGAAGTCATGCTCTTTCATTTCATTGGCTTGTCAGTAAAACAGACATAATGTGAAAATCCATGACGTATGACATGCTGATGTACGACATGTGTTTGGGACCAGAAAATGGGGAGCGAGGGAGGGGGTACCCATTTTTTACATGTTCTCTTTGTTTTGTTTTAGCTTTAGGCTGCTTTTTAAACACTGTGATGGGCTTCAGTGAAAGAAGGTTTTTCCTCCACAGGTCTTTTAAATTTCTCTCAACGTTAATATTGAATTGGGACCACATTATGGATTACTTGTTTGGTTTCGTAATGATTTATGCAGCATATGTCTTGTCTGATCTGGTCTTTTCTGTACACTTATAGTTAGTGTACATTGTCCTTTCCAGAGCCACCTAGTATGAGTTGTATGATAAGTAAATTTGTTCACATGGATGGCCGCAGGTCTGCCATGTTTAATTTTTTGGGAGCATTGTGGGAAATTAAAGTGGTGGCCTAATCTTTTTACCTTGCACTCCTCAGAGTATACAGTAGCTGAATAGACATAGGGGTATACTTTCCAACTTTTGTTTTGTATATATTTATCTTGAGATTTCTGGCATACTGTGTAATATAAACATGAATTATAATTTCAGCATTTTAAAAGAATTAATTTTTAGTGTGGCAATCCTCATGGAATGTATGGGGAGCTTTTTTCTGCTGTAGTTGCCTAAGATAAGATGTCTAAATAAATTATATTGGAAAGCAATCTTTGTAAAACATTGATTGTGTGGAAATTTTGAGTTAATATTATGAAAACTATTTGGTCACTCTCTATAGCTATGCTTAGCAATACTGATGTCCTATAAACTGCCATTGGTTTCTGTGGCTTGTGATTCAGTAATTTCCCAATGTTACTCAGTCTCATGTCTTCACTTCATTGTGTACACCCTTCCTCTTGGATGTGTGATGGGTGTAGGCAGCAGGTGCTGGATCCTTCCTAACGCAGGTAATCCTCAATTAGCAACTGCCTCATACACTGACCATTCATAGTTATGACTTTGAGACCAGTCCTTGCACTGACAACCTTCATAGATCTGTAAAGAAAGGAAAGCTGAAGTAAGATCAGTCATGGTTTCACTTAGCGATCAACTCAATGACAAAGTTTGGTCACTAAATGAGGGCTAACCATATTTTTCTTTAGCCCTGAGGCTGAGGAACTAAAGGGAGGTTCTTAATACATTTTCCAGAAAAAGCCTGGAATTCTCCATATACCTGGGGGGGGGGGGGGGGATGATTCCTATTGTTAAGAAACACACTTACACATGAATAATTTTTCAGACCTTTGATTACAGTGCATAAACATTGGAAGGAACCAGCAAGCTTTCCTTGTTTCTCTGCAGATGCACCAGACCTCTGCTCTGCCTCTATGATCCTTGAACAAAAAGGGTCTATTAATGTTCCTTCTCAGGGAAAGATTAAGGCCAACTGATGCCCTAAGCAGAGCCCAACTGTGCTGCCCCCCAACCCTTCCATTGCTTAACTAACAAAACGTTAATAACACTTAGCAATAGGACTTAGACTTGTATACCACTCCGTAGTGCTTTACAGCTCTCTCGAAGAGGTTTACAGAGTTGGCATATTGCCCCCAACAATCTGGGTCCTCATTTTAATGACCTTGGAAGGATGGAAGGCTGAGTCAACCTTGATCTGGTCAGGATCGAACTGCTGGCAGTCGGCAGAGTTAGCCTGCAATATATCACTTTCTAACCACTATGCCACCGCGGCTCTTAAGACTCAATGTATTGAAAACCAAAATTGAACATGGCAGTGTTCAACTTTGAACACTGCCAATAGATCGGGGCGGGGGGAGGGAACGGAGACTCTGTGATGTTTTCTTTCTCTATGTACCTTTAACATGTGTTTATTTTGTATAATGGTTAATACAGGGCTATTCCTTTTCCTCTTAGAAGAGAGACTATTGTCAATTCTGGAGCTGGCCTGACTGAGGCCATTTTGAGGCTCCAGGGTTGCCACACTGGAGATGGGGATTAGGGAGGGAAGAATTGTGATAGCTGGAGTTTTGTAGCCAAAACAAGATAGTTTCCCCTGTGAACCAAGGACATTTCCCCAGGTGGCTGAAGAAAGGAGGAGCGATGTTACCAAGCAACTGGATTGCACCCTGACTGGACCATGTGACTGATTATTTGGAGAAAGGGGAAAAATGTTTACTTTTAATTAGGTGAAAACCACGGAAACCTTCAGAGTTGGTTTAATGTCAGGGTTCCAAGTAATATTCCCATAGCAAACGGAACTCTGAGGCAGATAGGTTCCTCAAAGATTAGTTTTATTGGATATATCATATTGGCACAGGTTGGTGTATTACTTGGAACCCTGACACCCTATTGTGGAGGGCAAAACTGGTAAAATACATACATACTTAATAAATATAGATGTACTGAGGTAGATCCCCAGTATTGTACTGTCAGAATGAGAGAGAGAAGAGTCTTGCATCAGATCATGTATTAGATCCCATCAAACTCGCACATCTATGAATACAGCATTCCCAACCTTGTATTTGCATTCCTGAAGTTAAAAGGCCTGGGGTATAGAGGAATGGACTGTGACCTCTCTTCAGTGCTAGGATTAAAAATAGGTTTGAAGCATGGATAATTTATTTTAACAGCAAGTGTTCCTATGTCATCAAAATTGGGAAGTCTAGTTAAGAAAAAAAAAAACATAGCAAAATGGATTCCACAAACCAATCCTGCCTTAGAGAACACAACAGTCAAAGACCTCAGTACAATGCGCTTGTCTCTTTTAATTCTGAATAAACAAAAAGAGAAAATGTGTCTGTCCCACTCCAATAAAACTAAATCCAGCACCATCTCAGGGCCAAATCAGAGGTGTGTTTCAGCAGGTTCTGACTAGTACTGGAGAACCGGTAGCAGAAATTTTGAGTAGTTCAGAGAACCGGTAGTAAAAATTCTGACTGGCCCCACCCCCATCTATTCTCTGCCTCCCAAGTCCCAGCTGATCAGGAGGAAATGGGGATTTTGCAGTAACCTTCCCCTGGATTGGGGACAGAATGGAGATTTTACAGTATTCTTCCCGTGGAGTGGGGTGGGAATGGAGATTTTACAATATCCTTCCCCTGCCACACCTACCAAGCCATGCCATGCCCACCAAGCCACACCCACAGAACCAGTAGTAACAAATTTGAAACCCACCACCAGGCCAAATATATCTTGATATGATCCACTCATAATTTACAAGCTCATAGGACGTCTGTGAAGTTTAAAATGTTTGAAAGGAAGTTACATGGAAACTGCAAAATAGAAGAACAATCTGGTCATAGGAAGTGGGGCATGGAGCTAAGGCAGGGATGATTATGCAACTGGTCTCCTAAGGAGGCTTCTTCAAACATTTGACCCTTGTCAAAGTCAAAAGTCATTCTTTCCCTTGATGTTTAAATATGGTTTATTTGATTTGTCTGGCCACCTGTCTCATCGAAGTGACTGGCAATAGTTTTTTTAAAAAAATCCAATAAAAGCCAGTTGAAAATCAATATACAAATATATAAAAAACACATTCCATTTAAAACAAAAAAAATCATAGTCAGTGACAGAATCCAACCTTACGTCAGCTGAACAGAGGCATTGTAAAAGCCCCCCCACCATTCATTGCTAGATGCCCCCAGGCACAGTGGCAGAACCATGCCTTGTTTTGCCATGTGTCAGGGCAGCGATGAGATGCCCAGGCAATTGGTTCCCTTGGACCCAGAGGAAATCAGCAGCCCAGTAAATAAGGGAATGTTAAGCTTTCTTATTAGCTCATGCAAACAGAGTTAAAAGTTTGTTATAAAAAGCAGACATACCAAGCAAGGTGATGCCCAAATCTCTTACAATCAACCAGGAGCTCCTTAATAATGACAGCAGAGATATCTCAAGGGCAGCCAGTTATCATACAAACTAGTGCTAAGTTTCATGCAGAAGCTTTCAACAAACAAACAAGGTTTGTATCAAAACCTGGAATCATGATTTCATGGCCCTATTATGATCAGGACTGCAAGATTTGACTTTGATTGAATGGCACATGAGTCTGAATGGGAATTAAAAGTCTAAGACTTTGACAGCAAAAGTTTTTGAAAAAAAGCTTTGCAGTTACGTGACAAATTCTCTCCCCCCTCCCACTTTCTCTTTTGTTCACCAAGCAAGAGAGGAAAACAAGCAGGCTAACTCTGAACGAGTTCTAAACTCCCCAACTTTTTTTTTAATACGAAGAAAAAATCAAAACATGTCAATAAACTTCTCAAAATAATGATGGTCTTCTACATTGCCACTATAGTTTTCAGAGCCAAAGTCCTTCTGCTCCTTCGGCAGAAGACAGTGACTGAAAGATAATGTGCCCACAGGTCCTTCTTTGTAGAGCTGTCAGTGGACAATCTCCTGTTAACAGCATCCAAAATTTTATTCACTTGTTCTCATCCTTGCTCACTTTGCTTTTCAGTATTTCTATTGATGACATAGTATTTTTTTTCTAAGTCTCAGCAGATAGCAAGCCTGGCTGGAACTTGGATGGCAGATCAGCAGGAAATACCAGGGTTGGAAGAAGGGATAAAACACTTCTACTTTACTATCAAGAAATCAGCCTGGCCATATTTGTAAAATTACTTGTCACTGACCCTTGAAATCCTACTTTCAAGTTGCTTTTCAATTTGAGGTGATATACAAGCTATAGAACCTTTGTGTAAGAGGAGGAGGAGGGAAGGGGGGAGGAGGGGCAGGAAGGAGAGAAGGAAGAAGGGGGAAGTAGGAGGAGGAGGAGGAGAAGATTATTTTATTATAACAATATAATTTATTATAACAATAAAATATTTTGAGGCTCCTTGATCCAAAATGCTTGATGCCCCCTGGGTTGTTGCTTGAAATATGCTCAAGTCAGAAGTGAAGACTCAGTTTGCTCTATTTGCTATATAAACACATGTGATTATTCAACCAGGAGGCTAGAGCAATCAGAGATGATTTTCTGTTTGAAGGTGCACTTTATCCCGCAGTGAGTGGCTAACAATGAATAGTTAAGCATCTGTGGCCTTCTGGAATGATTTTCTCACCTACCGGAGGAAGCTTTGCTTTGAAAGAATATCTCTGTTGATTCTAAGATATGCAACAAATCACAGCCAACTCCTGTGAAACTATAACAGTATTTTCAAGAAGAGCTAAGAGCAATTTTTTCCCCCATCACATAGGGACACTTGTATTTTGCCAAGCATCTCTAACTAAACAGGTTTTGGAATGGAAGTGACTCTGACAAACTCCTTTTCTCTTTCTAAAAGCTATGTGCAGGAAGATAGTCATCTATTGCTTAGAGAAATTACCTTATTGCATGAAGATACTTATTTTAAATGTCTTCATCTTCAGGTTCATATCTTAGAACATCTTAGCCACTTTGACTATGTAAAATGATTAAGTTATCATTAAAGAGAGGCATCACATCACACTCATAACAGAAGCACCAACATGCTTCCAGGTCGAAAGAATTAGCTGATGACATCACTGTTGCCCAGGAGACACCAAGTTGGGGTTCTTTTTATGTCCTTGGCAGGAGCTGGAGCAAAGGACAGGAGCTTATCCCACCATGCAGGGGCACTCAATCTCACTCAGGTCTCAAACGTGGGCTTGCTAACCTCCAACCCAGCATCCTAACTACATGAGCCACTGTACTCCAGCAAGAGTGGGATGAAGCACATTTAGAGATCATTGTGAACAG